AAACCGGAGTGCAGGGTTCAAGAAAAGAAGAGGGTAAAACTTCAAGCAATAAAAGACCGTTATCCTTGAGTGATTTTGGAGTGTCTATGTCGGAGGGCTTTTGTAGCATTCAACAACGTTTCGTTAAAAACCATAAGCTTAAAAAAATAAAGAAGGAGAGCCATAACCACGAGAAGGATCCCAATGGTATTAGTGCTGACGCACTTGAGGATGCTCCGAAAGATGCTAGAATCGCCAAGTATTGGGGCCAACGTTATCGATTATTTCGTAAATTTGATGATGGCATCCAAATGGATTACGAGGGATGGTTTAGCGTTACGCCAGAGAAGATTGCGGAACACATAGCAAACAGATTGTGTCCTCGTGGCAGGAGGAAAAGTATGCTGACCATGGATGGATTTTGTGGCGTTGGAGGTAACACAATTCAGTTAGCCGTGCGCTCACCAATTGTACTTGCTGTTGATATTGACGTAAATAGGATCGCAATGGCTAAAAATAACGCAAAAGTGTATGGGGTCGATCGAAAGGTTGAGTTTGTTGTTGCAAATATGGAACACTTCGTACCGCGAGTAGCACCCGATGCAATTTTCATGAGTCCGCCTTGGGGAGGTCCGGAATATAAAAACAAGGGCACATTTAAACTTGACGATATGTGTGTTAAATTTAGAGAAATCTTTCGCGTTTATCAGGCTTTGTCACCAAATCTGGCATTTATAGTGCCCCGGAACACAAATCTAGAACAATTATGCGAATTAGGCAGAGTTGAAGTGGAGCAGAATTTGCTAAATAAAAAAATCAAAACAATAACGGCATATTATGGAAACCTTATTTGCAAATAAAGCTATCCATTAAAAAATAAATGAAGCACAAAGCAGAAGCTGATCCTTAAAGTCTCCGCGGTTTCTTGAGATTTGGTCCGCTCTTGCAAAAGCTTTCCCTAAACTTAACTAGGTTTACTCATGGTTTTGCTTTCGCCAATTTAGCGCTGTGAAGACAGACGCCAGTCTAATATTCCTGAGTTCTTTATTCATTTCTAACCAATAGTATAATATTGGATGTATTAAATAAAGGCTAACACGAATATTATTTTTTTACTAATTTGAAGCCACCATTGTTCGAACTAGAGAAGTGTCGAAGTGATGTATAAATCGGGATAGAAAAGGTACGATAGTGCAAATACGTAGATAATTACGCAGGGAAGTTGTGGGCTAAAGCGAAAGCTACTTTGGTGACCAGACAAAACCAAAAGGTCCGCCTGAATTATTTTACATAAGTTTTATGTGAATTAGAGTTTATTCATAGTAACTTTTCAAGGACCAGTTCTTTATTAATTGTGGTTATGTAATGTTATTTGAAGAGTGTTCCTCGTTGCTTTTTATGTACAAAATGTTAACGAACAGTTTCAACCTTGTATGCAGGAACAATTGTGATAGCACTTTAATGCTTGAATTTAAATCAGTTTAGTTGCGCTACCTATGGAACCCTATTGTACTATTGTGACAAATTGAAATGACGAATTTATGATGATGTGTTCCTCTCGTAGCCGTTCGTAACGGCACCATAGTTGGTAATATCAATAGCCCGGAGTAAACGTGCGTCTCAAGAGCGGTCAAGTGAGCCATATACAGGAAGTCCCGTTTTGGTGGTGAGTGGTCCTTCCGTCCCCGGGAGCCACCGACTTCCAAATGATTAAAAATGACTTTCCTTGCATTTTCCCTTATTTCTCAGCCCTGTGTTTAAGCTGCCGGATTACCAAAGCTGTTTGGGATTCTAAGGTATCTCCGGCGCAGTGGTTTTCAACGTAGATGCCCTCGGGCCATACGTAAAAGACAAACGAAGCTGTTTTGGACATCGCGATTTTATTGTATTGTTGTCGATAGGATGGAGGTAAGCATTTTAATAGTTATTAATTAGATATAGCAAATAGCTGTGCTGCATGTCCACTTTAATCACACAAAGATGTTTACTTGTCTATTAGAGAGGTTTCGAGCTTTATGATTTTACTTCATTGAAATATTTGCAAATAAAGGCAAATGCTTAACAACAGTACCACAGGAAGAAGTCGAAACATTCATTTTATTTGTATAATGGATAGCTATTATGAGCATTTCCCGTAATAGATTTAATTACCTTATTTACGACGGAACTATAATCATGTCACCGCAAATTATTACAGATTAGATTAATTCAATCCATTAGGTCGTTATATAAATTCTGGATGTAGTGTGCATTTTGTCATCTTGCCGTGTCAGTCCTTTACTAATTGTTCAGATATAATGTACCGATGTGTAAGTGTCCCACTATGATCTACAAATCTGTCGCTATTCTTTTATATGGATAACGCAGTTTCAACGTCGCAATGTCCAAAAAATTTGCTTTAAAAGAAATTTTTATTGGTCAGGTGACTTCCTATTGTGTTAAAAAAGGACACGTCCATATTTAAAGTTTTCAGACTTTTCATTGAAAAAAAATTGAACAGGTTATTCTCTTAATTGCTCTATTAAAACCAAAGTTGATACACTCAGACTTCATTTTCTTATTAACGTTAAAGATTTTATATTGAAGTATAGTGACTAGAACCTTTTGTTCATCCATAATAGCTGTTAATTTCTACTGGTGAGACCTTTTCTCAACTCAACTGAAACCTTAAACACTCTAAATTCTTACTCTGGTCGAAAGAATGAATTAACATAAAGCACAACCGTACTGATGGGACGTCTCTTTCGTAAATTACCTGAGAAATCCTGTCGATAGCGGCTCCTAATTTTTCAGGAAGTAACTCAGTACTTCCTATATGTTATTTTTGTAAAATTCAATCCAGAAGAGGGGTTGTAATTTTTTTGCTTACACTTTTATTTAGCATAATTATAACATTTATTATAATCATCTTCTAGTGTAATCTTGCGTGAAAGTCTGTCACAAGATTGTTAAAAATAATATCAGGTTTATATGCATCAATTCTGTCTATTTTTACTTAGTTTGGATAAATAAACAGATCAAATAAAAGTAGAAAAGATATGTGCGGGCGCTTGCTGACGTTGTTAAGACTTTCACCTTACTTTAAAAAACTAAATATTTGACCTAACAAGCTGATTTACTTATTGAACTTGGCTGATTGCCCAAAATAATACTGCAACTCGTTTTATAGTATTTACTAATATAAATATGTTTGCAGTATATGTTCCATCTGTAATCTAGCTTGCGGGATTCTTTTGTTTTGCAAGCCAGATGAGACTTCTTCTGGTTACTTCTGCTGACAACTATTTTTGTTTCTGAGTATCATTGTCTGTCGCTGCTAACTTAATGCTAGCCAAATATTAATTAACGAATGAATGAACGAGGTATGGATCAACAAATACACCAGGCGGTTTCGGGTAGAAATGGGAGGACGGAATATCCATTTTAGGAGTACAGGTCCAACTCCGTCTATCATTGTTAAATCTCGAGTGCTTAACTGTTCCCAGACAGCTTGAATACTGTAAATACCGTACCGGCAGTTGGCGTCATCCTCAAATTGAACAATTTGACTGCAGTCTTCACCGATATTTTTGGCGGGTTTTTAGTTACGATAGTAGCTGTTTCTTCTTGTTACGTTTTCTTTGATACGTGCTGTGAAAGAGTTCAATTATGTTGTTAACGTTAATATGAGGCACAGGAAAGAACTTTTAATTTTTAGGTTTTTTTTCTGCTCAAACGAAACGAATCAGTACTTGCAAACCTGTCTCTTCTCCTGAGCTTCATGGCTTTGGTCTTTGCCCCACTTATTCGGAGGCTGACTTCTCGGGCATGCTTCTACGACGTCACTGGTGCTTACTATAAGCATCTGCTTCAGCTGGAGTATCGTAGATGTAAATCAACTTCACGAAGCAATGTAGTTCTTTGAGTTATGAAAGTAAATTGCTGGTAGGGAACGAGAACAGCCGCGGATTGCATTGGATGTTTGAAGATGGCAGCAGACGGCCAGATCTTTTGATGGTCTCTGGTTATAGGCCCCTTTTTTCTTGTAGCTTTGCGTAACCATGCGGCCACAATCTGGGCCACAATGCCAACGTGATTAAATTAAAATGGAGATCACCTTTTTAAAAAGTTTTGATTATTTGTGTGCTCCCCGGTTTCTACTCTCGCTTCCACCTATACGATATCCTTCAGCAGCTTTTCAGTTTCTTGGCGCTACCCTTTACGCTTATCACAACAGGACTGACCATGATTGCTGTGCTCGCCGCCGCTCCTTGTATATGATAATCAAGGTTTGACCTCTTCTAGAATATTTAAATAAATGTCTCTCTTTTTCTGTCATTGTTTGTGTGCAGTAGGCCACTAAAACCGGCTTGAAGTAGGACCAGTGTCCATCTAAAATAGTTCACTATTCTGTCAGTGATTACCATACTCTCATGTCCTCCGTAGTAACTTATATATGCTTTTTTCTGTCATCTGAGACCTGCCGACTAAGAGTTCTTTTCTGTAACGTCGTAAATTCAAGCCATTTCTTGATACAATAATCTTTTAAATTTCGTTAAACGAAACTTCGTGGCGACCAAGGGATCCTGCAAGCTATTTTTTTATATGCAGTTAGTCTGAAGTAATCTCATATAGCAAGCTCACCTTATTCGCACTTTAATGCTTTTTTAATGGTTGTCATTTGTTTTTCAAATGCCTGTTAATTCTTTAAATTTTTCGTATGACTTTCTCTTAATTTCCTTTTTCTTAGTCATTGCTATGTCTTGTTTTTTTTGCTATGTGAAGCTTTTTGCACATCATTGCTGATTAATATATCTCTGTCTCGTTATTTTGAGTTCTTCACGTTTTTCTCTAGCTCCGTCTAGTTATGATTGCTTTTCTTATCGAATTTTTTTCAACGTTGCCGACTTATGATTACTGACTGTGTCCAAAGATTTCGGCTACGGCAGCTGTTAAGACGTATAGCTTCGGTTATTCGCCTGCATAAGGGAACAATCGACTAATCATATAGGTCTATAGGTCCATTCCCTGCTGCCCAACAGTATATCCTTTTTGAGTTTAATTCACTTTCTTCCGTGTGGGCTTTTACCTTGCTGTTTAGGACATTATATGCGCATTTCTGGTGTGCTGATCTGTTAATTCGGACGCGCAGATCAGTTATTTGTTCTAGCAATTGAGAGTGGTTGTACTCTCTGGATGAGACAATGATTGTCTATGAAGATATGTAGTGCAATGCCCGTGGTCTTTAAGCAAAAGTTTAGTGCTGACCGGTGTATGCACGGCCCAATCCTAGCCTGTGAGTTGCCCTTTGTCACGAAACCCAGTGTCATTTTGTAGTTGCAACTCTAAGTTTGTATCAAATTTGTCCCAGTTGCTGTAGGTTCGGCTGTTATATACTCGATACAATTAACTCGACATAGTAACTTCACATACATTTCATTAAGACCTCTTATATCGCAGTTGAGTGTATGGCGTGTTTGGTCTTCAAACGGCGCGTAAAACCTAGATAAAATTTTATAATTTTGCAGTCTAAATTCTATGCGACCAGTCGATAGCAACAGCTGAGGTTCAGCTGGTTACAAGAACTGAAAATAATGCTAGTAATATTTAATTGGTTAAATTTTTTTTATAAAACGGTAACCAGTTTGAGCTCTGAGGAGACCGTTACAATAGCAGTTCTTTAGTTGAATGTACGCCAGTAATATTAGGAAAAATTTGACTGTGCATGTTTTTTTTTTTATATAGTTTCTAGGGTTTTCTAAACAGTTTCTAAGGACCAAACATCGCACATGTTTTTTTTAGAGCATTCGATATTTCGCTTCTAGAACATATCAAAACTAACACCTTTGTTGTCTTGATGCAATACGTCGGAGGGCCAATTGGTTTACAATGTAAAGCCTTGGTCAAACCATAGGTACATTGGATTTTCCAAAGATTTAGAGTATATCACTTAGCAGCATTATCTTTTCATATATATGTAGATAGGCTAACTTAGTCAGGGATTTGGTGTTTGTAGATTCCTGGTGTCCTGTTGCAAAAAGAGGTGACACTTTACAGTACAATAGCAGGTGGCACGGCAATCGTGGAGTTATGAGAGATAAATAGGATTAAATTGTTGACTCGAACAGCTAGTCAGTTAAAAAGTCGGATAAGTGCTTGTTTTGATGGGCGCATCAAGTGTTGACTATAGATAGGACTTTTTCCTATCTGGAAGTGTCAACTAGATTGTGGGAGATACGTCTGCTCTCCTTTGTTTTTTAAGAAAAGCTATGCCCGCTCTGACCCTAAAAGGAAATAAAGGCCTTGTTAGGTTTACAATGTGTATAATGTGCACGAAATTTACTTCACGATCATCGTCCAGTTTGTGCGTGACCCTGTGGATGCTATCGACTTTATGTGTTTTACTCGTATATAGTGAACTCAGCGCTGGCATCGAAGATGATCGCTTAAAAATGCGGATCAGGCGCGAAGCAGATTTCTCTGGATTGCTTCTTACATCAATAAACAACACTCATTCAGAGTTATTTAGAAATCCGATACGCACCGTTACTACAGTTCCTGGACGAAAAAAACCAGTCATCTACAGCACTACAACCAGCAATGAAGAATATTCCAAAGAGCCAAGTTCAAAATGCCCTTTAGATAAAACCAGTATTGAGCCTTGCACCTGTCGAAGTCTTGCTAGAGGTATCGCTGTTGAGTGCGAAGGCCTCGTTGACAGCAATGGACTCTTTTCTGCCTTTAAGGATTTAAGATCTTACATAATGCACGACACGGTACTCATCGATATACATTTTGAGGTAAGACGGAAAAAACATTTCACGTGTTACCGAAACGTATTATGTTGCATGATTTCTTAAAGCATTCGTGCGTCTCCAATATTTTTTTCCTTTGTGAAGTAATATATTTTTATCCAAACATTTTCAATGTTTATTTGCATTAAAAATTAAAAGGTCATCGAGTAATGTTCTTATAAGGTGTAGTTATAATTATAGTCTAAACTAAGACTGAAATCAACGAATGTAGTTGAACAAGGTTGAACGAACTCCACAAGCGTAGTTATTGTGGTAAGATGAATGATGTCAAATTGGTCGATTGTGTAACAGAATACCTTTTGAACACCACCTTCTGAGATTCGTTTTAGGTTTCAGGGTAACAATAAACAATGAAAAAAGTCATAAGTGAAACTGCGAAAAGTAAGTTCCATGTGTGGGCTGAAATAGGAGTATTGTTCAAATTCAAGAAAATAACCATGATGATTGAGGATCGTAAAACTAAAGGTGCTGTTCGTTGTCAGCCTTAGCGCTGATCACGATACTACTTCACAACTAACTAAATATAAATAGTGAATAATAGCAGTTGATCACATGGTACAATCACGTTAGAATTTCAAAGTAGTTGTTTGTTGTCGAAAACTGTAAAAATTTTTGACCCTCGGAATTTTTTTTAATCCAATTACGCAATATTATTATCTAGGGTCTTCCGCCATTTTTATGTTTGCTTTTTTACTCCATTGCTGTAGGAGTCTGATTCTCGACGTGATTTTGAGGCTTGAACGATTTACTTACTAAATTGTAATTTGTGGGATCAATGTCTGGTGAGTATAGTGGATGAGAGAGAACCTCCAACTGTTTGCACCTACGTGATTCTTGCGCTGTGGAACCGAGCGTCTTGGCTGTCGGATGCATAGTCCGTTAATAATCCCCTCCAGTCGTTTAAAGCACACTTCAGTCGTAATTGACGAACCAAGGCTCACCAAGCTGACAAGCACACCCGTAGTAGACCACCAAACAGACACTATAGCTTTCGCAGCTGTATGCTTTAGGGCGATGGCCTGCCCGTTCAGTTGCATTCATATGATGGTCTGTAATTATCGTAAAGGATTACTTTTTCATGATCAGTTACAATTAAATCCCAAACGAAATCACTGTCTTAATGCGAAAGTAAAGGGAAGTAACGTCTTCTCGAGTCTCCATTTTCGATTCCCCGCTCAAACCGTGCGGCATTCACTTACCTTTTTCACCTTATTCATTCGACCGAGATAGATAAGTATGGTATTCGTATACATATTAAACCTGAGTGCTAACACCCGTGTAATGGTTTGATTTTTCTCACAGCTTACTAATGTCCGTAAGGGATCCTTCACGAAACTCATTTTCGAATTCAATATTTTTCGCCTGTATTTTTAAGTAAATGGCTTACGAAGCTTTTAGTAGGGTATGAGGCTTATACGGGGAGTCGTTTCTTCACTGTATTCATAAGATTAAACTTACGTTCGTAAACCAGTGAAATCTTCTGATCTTCTATTGCTTATTGCATCTCTCCTTACAAAAATCATGGAGACCACATCTGAGTGAACAATCTTGGAATCCGAAATGTACAAGCACATTTCGGAACTGAAAAATACCCCGGAATATCGCACCGTTATGAAATATCGCCACTCCATAGATAAAATTTCCTAGCATTTTATGTAATGTTTACCTCATTCTGTGCAACAAAAAAGTAACATGTGGAAGACCAATACATTGCAGGTTTGGATGAATTGTAGATGGACTGTAAGACATATTATTTACTCAGAAATCATACACTGATCAATATTCTGTAGAGGATACGCAGGGACATACGTAGTAGGTTTATGCACAAAACGGACAGTGATGACAATGATTAGACAATGACTTAAAATTTCAATAAGTAATACAATTCGTTGTTACTCTTGGTGAATTGGTACAGACCGTAGTAGATAGTAATCTCTGACTTTATAGATATATTTTTTTGTAGTATTTTTTTCCCTATGGTAACATTAAGTTCAAACTCGTTGTCCGAAATAAGCTCCTCCGATTAACGGACACATCTGTATTTGCGTTTTTGATAACTCTTACTTTATGCCAGAATGTACTGCGCATAACCTCTTGAGTACCTCTTGTTGAATTCTTAACCCTAAAAACGTAAGTTTTTTTTATCGACGAAACGTATAAAGTGCCAGTGCTCATTTTTCGGTGTTAATGCTGACATTTTCTTAGAGATCGCCACTTCTGTAAAATCTCTATTAATTTTTCAGTCAATTTTGTCATTTGAGAAAGAGTTTTACTTCACAACAGTACTTTATTGCTTGTCCATGCGTTTCCAATACTTCAAATATAAGAAGTAAGCCGCTAGCATTCTATGCAATTATGTCCAGGCAACCATGAAAAACTTTCTTTAGTTGGCCTCTAAAAGGTGATGCTAAATAATCATGTAACAATTTTTCTTAATTTCAGAATTTCTTTCTTCTAACAATAATTTTTTAATTTCTATCTTAGATTTCAATACATTTGTTTATAAAGATCCGTGGATTACTCTAATAATGCATTGGATGCTTGCTGTGTATCTAGTTTTTGATTTTATACTTTCAAATAGCTTGTGAAACATAGTTCTTAAATGTAACGATACTTAGTTACTACTTTAGTTATTTTATATTTTAATATCGATGAATTTGATTGAATTTCGGCCCTAACAGTAAATCTGTATGATATTTGGATTGAGCTAAATAATAATCAAATCATCCACCGAACCAAAAGTGTGCGGAATATATGCGTGCATCCCTCCTCGAATCTCATTCTTGATATAGGCAATTTTTTTTTTATTGTACACCTTTGGGCATCCCAATATTGTTTCACCCAAAGCATCGTTTAGAATTATGGGTAGTAATAACAACAAAGCAATCGGAGGCTGCGAGTGACCTATTGCAACCAGAAACCGAGTCAGCCCTACTTCAAAAATGGTAAATTTTTTACATGTATACCTCTGGACTTGTAGTCTCGGAATCTAGAAATAATTGAAAAATAAAGACTCAAAGAACCAATTTCCAGGCTTGGTGTTCATTCAACATTCTGCTTGAGCTGATTAGGACACTTTCTCAGGAAGGTATATTTTTAGTAAAAATAATAAAGCGGAAAACGGTTGGAAAATTTGTTTTTTCTGTTATCATTTTATAAAGGGTCCCGTTAGGAATATAATTATATTTCAACACTAAACCTACTAACATTTCTTGTACACCTGTGCTTGACCTGCTGAAAACGGTCAGACTAGTCGATGGTGGTAAGTTTAGTGCTACGCTTGAGAAAAATCGTGAAACTAAAATGTTTATTTGAAAAAAATGTTGCTAAAAAATCTGTGTGAAAAATGTTACATGCTCGCAGCGTTAAGAGAAACCATATATAAAAGGTGAAATATTTTGGAAGATTGAAATTATATGCAATAATACGAAAAAAATGAAATACGAAACCTTCAAGGAGGCACTGCCAATGTTACCGACCGATAAGTACGGTTGCCACGTAAACTATTAGAGCATAATATTTATTATTGTAAATAGATACCTAAAAAAACAAGTCGCACAATAATCGCTTTGCAAAGGTTACGATGCATTTTTTTTATACATTTTTGCTTTCTCTTCAATTATTGTTATGTTAATATACACCGATGGTCTTTCTTCGTTTGTTTCCAGATAGAAAACCGGGTTTTTGACTCTATGAAATTTATCATACTTACCTTCCGAAAAGGAAAAGTCACAATCCGTGGAAATAAGGATGAGTACAGCTTAGCAAAGTTGGTCAAGAAAAAGGTACGTTTTGTCACTTATGTCGATCTTTTTCTCGGACAATCTATAACTAGGTTTAAGCTAGTTCTATCCATTTACTGAAACAGATTATTACTTTTCCTCTGATGTAACACAAAAAAACTGCGCATAAGGCGACATGACGAGTGCAGATACTTCATGTAAAAGCGCAATCACTTACTACTAAATCAGAAATCAATTGAATCTTGTCACTATAAATTTTCACTAGACACTCAGTTTTTACTATTAGACTGTCGTAGCTCTTGCAGTCAAATTTTCAGTTTCTGCAAGGTATGAGACCCAGCAAAGTATAATATATTGCTTCATAACTTCGCTCTATGTTTCATCTGTATTTTGAATATTTATACGTCGGGAGTAGTTATATATTACTGCTTTTTACTGACTTAAAGCTTTGTTTGGAAAACTGTCATTTTGCCACTGACTTTTACGAGGTTTTACCGATGTTACACTATAGCGCACACAGAGCTATAATAAGAATCTCTAACTGTTCTATTATTCAAAACATTATGAGTTTTGAAAATACCAATATTAACAATGGAGGCTGTCTACCTGAAAATCTGTCTAAATGAATTAGTTTTGTTGTGTTACACTTATTAAGACAAATCTCTCAAAATAAGTTCCTTGTTTTAAAAACCCGTAACGAACTTTATATTTTTAGATAGCATACCGTCTGTTAACTCTCTTGATATTTCAAGATAAAAAGAGATGACAGGCAATGCTTCTCGACAAAGGATGACGAAACGATAATGAATTAAGTAACTGCAGGCATAAATCCAACATAAGAGTTTGGCAGACTTAGGCGTTAATAACATGCTGCTCTGTCTTCACACGCAGTCAGAGTGTATCCCGGATATATGTATCATTTAAAAGACGAAATTAATTTATGAGTTTCTTAGCTTATGAGCTCTGCAAAAAGCGATACATAACAATCTCCAGTTTGTGCTTAAGATGTCGCTTGTTTGCTGAATACGTGTAAATTTTCCTAAATTCACTTTAGCAGTATAAAGTATAATAAATTAATAAAATAAATGCGCTTGAAATTTGGTTAAATACAATAAGGAAGCCGTTAGCTTTCCGCATGAAAAGATGGTACAAAGTGTGCTAAATTGTACGATTCTATATTTTGTCGTTCCTCATTGAGCACCATTTAGAGTTTTAACACATGTGCACATCGTAAGAGATCGGACGAAATATGAAGTGGAGATCATTGAAACTATTATAAGCCTTTAATACATTTGAATTCTACTAATTATTTATTTATCTGTTTGTTAAAGATTTATCTGGTTGCCTTTTAATTATTTTTTATTGACAAGCACAGCAGCAAGGCCGGTAAAACGCAAAGTTTACGATCACAGCATCCCAGATTGGAGCTAAATGTTCGCGATCCTTTGATCAACTTTTTAGTATCTAGGACCTTATTTCACTCGATGAGTACCATAGTCGCTCTTCCTCCTCACAGTACGTATATTGTAACTGGTCTCTAGTAGATTATTAGTGGCGATGTTTCAGCCCTTCTAAGTAATCATCGTGACTGGATGGCTGAAGCACCGCTTGGAAGAGATCTTTGTGGTCTTAAGAAAGGATCGCTTAATTTAATTGTGGTATTGTAATGGCATATTCCAGCTACCATGTTCTTTAAATCCTGTTTAAAAGCTTCGTTGGTAGTCATATTCCCCTCTTAAACACAAAACGGTTAACTCAAATTTGTTCAAATGGTGGTCAGGACTTGTTACAAACATTGCTTTGATCTTAGGAGTACAATTCTTTTACAATACTTTCATTATGAAGGCCGCAAGACGCAACGGTCAAAGCTAATGAACCACAGACGCACTCGTCCAGTGGCCAACAACTTCGTCGACAGTTCCTTCAGATTTTACAAATAGTTATCATTTATGCTTAGATCATTACATATCATACAATGAAAAAACCGTCTCAATTTATATTCATTGATATTGTATTGATTTAGAAATAACTGAAAAATTAGAAAAATTAAGTTTTGTACTATGACATCCACATCTCAACGTTTAGGAGCCATCCTTCAAGGAAATACGTATGACAGTATTATTTTATGTTGTTACAGGTTGATTTACAACAAGTCAACTTCATGCAATGTCAAGTGGATCTAGGAAACACCACTCTCAGACATCAGCCGCTGAAAAATCTAGAGCTGTTGGAAACCTCGCTCGAGAATTATAACCCTATCTGGTTCGACGAGTTAAAAGTAGAGCGGGTAAGTTTATATATATATATATATATATATATATATAATCAAAATATACGGGAAAAGCAGGGATAATACGATTGTTCTATAATTTATAATGAGATTAATAACATAGTTAGCAACTTTACTTAGGTAAATGAGGGGTTATTTTTTTTGTTGTTCTTTTTTTAACGATATTTGGAAGCATGCTCGGCATTGTAATTTGAGGCAATGCATATTTTTATGATAAAATGCTTTGTCATTACTTTCTATTATGTACTCCTTACTATTATGAGTAAAAAACGTACTACTGCCACCATACTTTGCGAAAATTTTGAGTCGTACATGTGCATAAAGTACCCCGTTTTAATTTTTAGGGAACGTAACCAAAAAGATAGTTCTTATATGAATATTGAAAACTTAAAGCCATTTGATTGATCTTCAATGTTAAGTTTTCACGTATCAAAGGCAGTAATGAAATGCCTATGATACCTTTGTACTATAAAGAAAATATGGTATACGCTGAAAAGAACGTAAACGTAGACCTAGAAGGGGGATGAGTTTGCACATAGTAAGAAATAGGTTTGCAGTAGAAATCATTTGAGTTTAAATAAAACACCTGTTTTTTTTTACAATTAGGAGCATACTTACTTTCTAACCCTAAAGCTATGCCTTTACCAAACATAAGTTGAAATCCTTGATAACTGTAGAGCTATTTCTGATATATCCTCTATATATGCGCTACTTTAAGCTAAATCGACGGATAAGTCGCTAATTTTTGACAGGCAGTATTTGCTCATCGTAAACAGCACCTTGTCTCGGTTTAAAAGGCTGCAATTTATGGGCTGCAACCGATATTTTGATACGAAATGGACCGATGAAATTAAGAAAATTACTGTTCTGGGGTAATCGAACACTCTTCTTAAAAATCTATATTTGGACATCGTTTTGTAACGAAATACCTTGTAAAGTGCCTTAAGTTATGACCGTCTAATAATCTATTTGCCACATTCTATTTGTTTAAAAACACAAAAGAATCGTGAGTTAATCTTGTTACCCTATAAAAGAAAGACCGGGCGTTTCCAGGGCGTACACAGCTTCTCGCGAATTGCGTAATATAACAAGCTTGGCCTCAAATATAAACAATATTCGTTTTTTAATTTCTTCTCACATAATTTCACTATCGTACAACTACCGTATATGTTATTAAAAACCTTCAAGCTCTAGTCTTAAGCCGTTTGAAAATCCGTCGTCCCCATTCAGAAAACGTAGAGGTAAAAGTAACAGTAAGTAGAATTTCCATTTTCGAAATTTGGCTCGAGTAGTTTCGATATATTGTTTTCACACAGATATTACTTGAATCTACATAAACAATATGATTTTCCAAGGTGATTACAATGGACCACCAGGTGTGCTTTCAGTCTTATATACGGTATCACCGTTAGGCATATCAACAGACGGCTGAGTACCAGCATGATACGAAGTCTATCTATGTCCGGGTTTGAACCTAGACCACAACATGTCCCTAAGACTAGCACGCAAATACGTTACCCACTAGGCTATCACAGAGACAGTATTATCGATACTAGCCTACAGATAACTTGTACAGAGCAAAATGATAAACGTCGGACTAGTTGTGTGGCTTCTAGCATGTTTGCAATCACCTGATCTCGATAGAACTTTACAGGCATAAGAAAACTTTGCCTAACCTGCACGCCTTCGTTATCAAACAGGCCTTCACATTGTTTTCCAATGTCGTAAATCGAGAACTCTATTTCTGCTTCCATCCTATGTTTCTCATAAATATGAATAGCTACATGTCAAGCAATATGACAATGTTTACCTGTAATTCAAGGGCTTTCAGAAACGTAAATATAATTCGTGTACGACTGAATTTAAGATAATGCAAGCATGCCATATGCAATTAAACGTCAAATATCGTTAGAATTGGCGAATCGATTGGTTTGACGGCATTATGCAAGTAGACAAAAAGAATTAAATGCATAATGAGAAGTTTAGATCTTTCCCATAAGGGAAAACAAAACTAGGCGTATGACTGTTTTGTCTTTTTTGAGGTAAGCAGGCAATCAAAATAGTGATTTCCCACAACTCTTGAGCTAACTCTCCTTCTCCCTCTTCCTAACTTTGAGCTGTTATTGTCGGAACGCTTGTCGAGGGTTCTCCAAAGGCGAATCGTGGGTATTTACATGGAATGTCGCTGCCGTATGATGGTTAAAAAGACGTAAGGAGGACATCTAAATGTCTCCCAACGGTCATTTTTCCGACTCTGCCCACCAAATGTTTGTCAAAATATAAACTTCTTTTATAATAAAAAGACGTCTAAAAAGTAGCGGTTTATCCGTCAATTTGCGCCTTTAATCGCCTAATTTAAGATTCCGAAATGCTTACGTTAAATGCTTCCCTGTTCTGATTTTTCATTTGCTAGTGGTAAAGTGCGATATACCATTCGATAGCTATTGTGATCGTATTGTCCAGAACACAAAATTTTACCTGAAGTTCGTACTGGTAAACAGGGATGCATTGGATAAAGCAGATGTGAATTTGCGATACTGCCTTTTTGCTGATGTGAAAAAGCTGCGAGAGCAGACTAGAAAGTTTGTTCCATGTGCGGTGAAGGGTCTACAATTAGGGGACACCTAACAATTATCCTCCGCCCAGCTTGGGGCGACCCTCGTCGAATCTGTAAAGCCAAGTGAAATGCGTTCTTTAGGTAAAAAAATACCATCACTTGAAGAATCACTTTTGAATAGTAGCCTGAATTACTTAGTTATTGTCATACACGCCACAGTTATTATAGCAATTTTCTGAATTTTCTAGGGTGATAAATAGAAGGTATTGTAAATACTATTGTTTGCTCCACGACACTGCCATCACTGAAATCCAATGTTAGTGCTCAAAGCTGCGATCATGGTCTTCCAACACTTCATTTCGACGGCACCTCTCTGTCAGCAAACGAATAATTAGGAAAAGAAAGCACTTAACAAAAACGTCCATTATCTATTTATGATGATATTAATTGGTATAAATATATTAAATCGTTGTTAAACATTTATTAGGTAAGGATTAGCTCAGCCAACCTTCAACAATACAATCTCACCAAAGGAATGAAGTATGTGCAACAATTCATCTATTCGAATTCGGCCCTTAGTGTTGTAACCAGGGGCACATTTCCAACTGACGTTACAGAGCTTCGCCACATTGATCTAAGGTAGGTGTTGTTTTTCATTAAAGAATACTTCTACGCTTGATCTGACATCGATTACGGAGCAATTAAAAGGTTGCTCATGTAGATGTTCAATACTAGAATGTAACGATTGGTCAATTTAGGGCTACGGAACATTATATTTCGAAGAGGAAATGTTGGTTTAAATAAGCGAGATGTTTTAGTATGGCATTTTTATTATTTTCAGGCCTAAATGGTAATATTAAGTGAAACCTCTGTTGTAGATGATGGGTAATTATAGAAGCTGTTACTCATACGTTAAAATTTTTTTTCAATTTATCGATATAATCGCGGAAAAATCGCCAAAATGCAATATGTTTGTTAGTAGCCGGAAATAGAAAAGTCCTCTGAGTGCGCTCGTATAAACATATGAGAAGAAGGCAAAGCACAATAGCTCATACACTACGTGCCGAATGTGTCGTAAAAACATTGACAAGGTAAAACAAACGTTAACGAAATGCTCCATGTACCGTAAATGCATATTCCTAAGGTGTTCAGGGCAGAAACATAGAATGCTCTATTTATATTGCTATCGAAACAGATACGTCTGAGAACAATGAGACTTAATCAGCCAGTCAAGACAATTCGAATGGGCAATCCTTATTGTTACGAAGAAAAATGCACAACTAAACACTGATTATTAAGCCAAGCACGATTCCGAAGTTCGACTGGCGAGAGAGACAACAATAATCCGTTTACGAGACGCGCTTGTTGTCTCCGCCATCGGTTACACCGTCGAACATATTAGCATAGTCGACTGTGGAAAACGGTGACAGTTGGGAGAGCGAGTAGGGATTCTTCAAGTCTCTGACAAAAGCGAAAATGGGGAGAACGATAATAAGAATACACAAGAAGACGCTGCTAAGAAAATTCTGGAATTACTAAAATGAACCAAGTTATAGTAGGTTATTCCTATCAACAATAATTGTTGTCTCATCAAAATTCATTGGAACGCAAGCTACAGCTAGATAGATATGTGCAGTCCAAACGCGGAAAAGAATTACATTAAACTGTGCGGTATTAAACGTTAGTTCAACAGCGAAATCCCATGCAATAAGCTCAGCAAATGAGAGCTCAAAAAATCGTATATGAATATAGCTTTTTCTTACATATTGCAGACAACCCCACAAGAATGACGTGAGAGAGATTATGGCGTCGCAGCACTGTGAAAAAAGAAATCTTCTGCACGCAAATAGATACAACAAACAACAATTCAAAATTGATCATTATGGATTTATTTTTGGCGGATTTGACACTTCGGAACACCCTGTGTCTGTCCTTCTCTCATCGGCAGTCCAAGAACGACATGAATCAGTGAATTCACAATTGTGTGCGGCTAAAGCAACGCGACTCGATGAAAGAACATCCATGACAGCAGCGCTTTTCTGTCTTCCCATGAGCCGAACGCAGTCCGCAAGAAAGTATTGCAGCGCTTCAAAGAGCCGCTATGCAAGTTAGACGAGACTCAGGCAACCTAAGAAAGGCACGAAAAAGTACGATATACCAAAGATTTGTCTGTCAAACGTTCAGCCCGTACAATAGAGAACTACGTCGGCGTGAAATAAGGGAAGCCAATACCTATGCTATCCGTGTGCAACAACCTTGCGATTCTATATGAAGTGGACACCATAATTGTATACGCAGTAAATGTAGCGAGACGTATAAGGAACTTTTGCCTTATATGTATGCGTCTTACTGTCGCTGATATTTTGTTGCATACTCAAGCTAGACGAACTATTTATGCTGTGCAGAATCATGGAAGGCAACATCAGTGCGGACATCTACAAGAACGGGAATCAGCGGTCTCATCTACGAGAAACCATTTGGATTGTCCCCCACCTTCCAGCCTCTTGCATGCCAAAATGGCACGCGCTATTCACCAGTTATTCGATACTTTTCGATATTTTTATTTTGATTTCAAATATGCGTTACAGAGACAGTCACAATTGAGAAATTGTTGGACATCTTACTGCATTGCGGAGTGGGACTCCGTGTTGATAACTAGAATGCAGTCCTTTGACGCTGTCGCACCTTTCGTCTCAGGACTAAAGAGGACCTATCATCAGATAGAGAAATAAAATACGCTTGCTGGTACTGTCTTGGGTTAATCTACCTACATCCTATTATCTACAAATTCTCTCAATTATTTAGATCCCGATGTAAACACCATGCTATATGCTGATGATATAAACATATATGGTTCTTCGCTCACAATCATCAAGAAATGCAAATTGCGCTGAAGCAGTGTTTTAAATGGACAATCGGAGCAAATGTAAAACGTTTCATTGATAAGTGTAGAGTAATGCACTTTGGATAGAATAACTGCACGAATAGAACAATAAATAACAACAAGCCATATGAAGTTACAAAATCAATTAATCTTAAACATAATGATAATGAATCGTATTTCCCTGTTTCCGCAAAAAATGAACTCCATTTTATGTTAATTTAACTTCATTTATGTATGCGTTTTTTCGATAGCTTGCCAATCCAGTTTCAATCTTACAGAATAGCCAACACAGGATATGCTCCAATATGCACTCAAATAACTTTGTGCATCGAATCACCTATAAATGCAAGGTAGTTTTTCGATAATGATATCACAATGAAGTTGAAGAATAATTATCGACTCTCTCTCTATTTTTCAGTTTAATTTCTATGGTGACAAGAAGCGAACCTAACTACACAACCCAAATAAACTTAGATTAAAACCCGTGTAAATCATGTTTTCGCATAATAGGCCCCACATTTGACTTGTACGAATATATTAATGTCGCTTTTGTTTTCTCATATCAACTAAATATATCGTATTGTAAATGTCGAGAACGTGCCTACGCAAAAACAAATATCCATAGAAATTAAATAATTTCTTATGACTTGTACGTTTTCTTAAAGTTTAATTTTACTATTTTAAAAGCAGTTTCAGTAACTCTTATAAGAAGCTAATACTGTGCGGCCTTTCTTAAATTTACAAATTGAGTCGTTGATACTGTTTTATTAGAATGGCGTAATATTTGATTCAGGTGTGTATTAAAAAATGTGATGTGACTCCTGATGATACATTCATTGATTAAGATTGAAGTGGCGGCAACGTTGCAGATCAAAAATAGTTTGTGTTAGTTATGACAAATTTCAATACTAACATTTCTTACAGAGGAGAACACCCATGATGATGGTCTTTAAAAAGTTATTAATAACTTGTATGTATGGATACTATCAGGACAAAGCGTATTTTGAATCCAACCCAGACGGGTGGAACTAACCCGGCCGAGACCGCGACCCATTAGTCCTAAATATCTTTCTTGTACTTCAATCTGAATCAACATTAACTTTGATTTAATCGAATTACTGGTTGGTTCCGGATCAATTGGCCGGAGCCTCTCTGGTCATTTTTCCCATCTTTTTAAAGGAGCTTGAGGATATTTCATCTTCGCAGTTTGTGTGAGCCCTGCAGTATTTCCCTTAACGCGCTCACTTCTCGATATTCTCGCACGCTGCGTCTTTTTGACCGTACCCTTTTCTTTTCGGTCAAAATTTTATCTTCCAGTATTTTTCCTGCATCTCACTATTCCCTTGATTCACAGGTGTACTAAGCAACGTTTCTAAAATACCTACCAAGCGCCCTTCTAGCCATTATCAAATCAGTAATTTAACAACTGGTTAAGTCAGAAGCCTAGCAGGCTATTTAAAAGTGTGTTGAGAATTATCCCGCTTTTTGCCTATGCAAAGAATGTAGGAGGCGGAAGGCGCCTTCCCAATTTTTTCTAGATAAGGGCGGAGGTGACCCGTCAGAGATTGAGTCAGAAAATAGGAGAACTAATCGATGCTACGTACTGTAGCCCCAGGTTTGTTTTGTGGGATCTTATACAGCCTGTCAAGCCTGCAGGGTTGCTTCTGATGTATCTATGGTAGCCTTTTTCCAAGCTGTTTTTTGTTCTTCTACTCTTAACTTTAGCAACCAGTGCTACCTAAAACCGGGGTCACCTGAACGGATCGTGCTGTAGGCATAGCAACGCTATGATAAGTCATGCTCTTTGTAGTAGGGCTTTAACTATCGATGTTTCCATAATAATGTGTCAAAAGCGTAATAAACTCTGCTATAAACAGCAACAATACCATTTTGTCCTCTTTCGGCCTATGAATATTAGGTATTATTCTACTAAACTCTGTAGATGCCTTCGATGTTTTGCCCATATTTATAGCTATTCCGCGCACTGCTTGGTCTAAGAAAATTTCTAGGCAACTTACCGTTTTAACGATCTTTGTCCTTCCCAGCGTCTTTGATTGAGATATACTATCGTTCTTAAGCTATTCCGTTTTTTGCTGGCAAGACGTTCGTTGTGTTCTAGAAGTAGCGAATTAGGCTCTATCTTGTTATTTATCATTTTCTCTACAAAAGTTATGTACGTTTAGCTGTGATACCTTAACATTGTCAAGTGATATCGTTGTTAACTCCGCGGGGCAGTGTGCCGGTTACCGGCAAACCCTCCATCTAGACTTCCTTCTGCGATCTACTCTATTTATGATCTCTTTTTTGGAACCTCTTTGTGATTCGAGTTTGAAATCCATATTATTTGCACAAACGTCGTGTGTACCACCATAGCAGATCGCTGTGCTTCCCGCGGCACGTGTCGCCTGACGCACTCTGCGTTACTTTTCTATTTCCCTGCTCAACTCTGCTTCGGACGTTATATTTAGAATATGCAATAGAATTTGTAGCATAGCTTTTTTAGTCGAAATTATGATAATACGCTACAGCGTTACCGTACGTTTTTCAAAACATGACCCAGAGTGCCAAAATTGTGACATTTTATTTCAACCATCTATGAATTCTTGGCAATCTGTCCTTTTATGGTTTGGTTGAGTTTCATTCTAGCGGACTGAACGCAAACCTTTGGCCGATAGACACTTTTAAGCGGCTGTCTCCGGCTAGTTGGAGATAAGTTCGATCTTTGGTTGGTTGGTTTGTTTCTGGAATTTCTGAGAGCTTTATATTGAAAGGTTTGTTGTTTTTTACGATCTACAAAATAAGCACAAAATTGAAATTTTGAATTATGGCGCGCTAGATTTGTTCCAACGTAAGGTCTTCTGTGGATCAAGGTCAAAGACGTAATCGTGAGCCTTGCAAATTCCTACGGGCGCTGTTGCAAGATCATACTTGCTTCATCGATTAGAATACACTGTTCTAAAGTATTACGGTGTGCTAGAGGATAGCTTGCGAGCGCACTGGCCGCCATGGCAGCTTGGAGGCGACGACAAACGTCCTTATATTAAATATAATAGTATCTTCTTGGCATAGCAGTAATTACTGTTAGTAATTTTTTTAAAAATAGTTACATAGAAAATTATGGATATATCCAGGTTTTTGTACAGTGTTTTAGGAGCATTTTTTACCCATTTGCCCAGCACCCTTTTGAACAAGATGGCAGTATTTTGCATACTGCTGTGTTGCCAGGGCCGCGTGCTAAACTTACCTAGTAAGCTTGCTCTCGGATGCTGCAGCTTTTTCGCCTGGCTAAACGAATATATTTAGATTGAATCTTATGCAGTTTACATTTCCGCACTCATATTCGACGTTCGATGGTTTGAAAAACCCGTAAATTTTTGCGAAACAGCATTCTTCACGTTTCGTGATCTTTCAATAGAACATAGCAAACTGTGTATCTGCTTGGATTACAACGCATTCCCATAATTCTCTAGTTCCTTGCAACGTAGTTCTATTGTTCAACCAGATAAAAAATAGACTTGCCGTTACTTGGTGAACCGGAATTACATATTTAATTAACATTGATTATTATTAATTAATTATAAATACCTACTTTTCATATGATTGGATTTTGTTTTCAGTTCGAATAATCTGGCTAATCTTCCGTCTGGTTTATTCGACCATATGACCGCTCTGGTAGAGGTCGTTTTAAAAGGCAACCGTTTCACAACACTCGAAGCTAATCTGATGAATCATAAAGCTTGGCTTAACATGACACTTCTTAATCTTGAAGGTATGGTGATTTGTTGGTCATATTTTCATAAGCATGCAATTTAATTCCATTGTAAAAACGATGGGTTAGTCAAAATGCGTGTATATATATATATATATATATATATATATATTTGGAGTTCAATCAAATAGACGCAAATAAACTTAATTAAATAGTTTTAAGGCCAATCGCGCAGATCTAAAGGCAGATATTTTGAAACAATTTTTAACTTAGAAAAGCGGTTTTATTTCACTTTACAATGGTACCCTATATATGGACAAAACCGTCAACAGGTACCCTCGGATATCTGGTAAACGATGTCATATGTAAAACTAAGTTCAACGATCGCAAGCATGATAGTGTATTGTATTCCAGCAAATCCGGCATTCACATTTCGTTCGAATATCTCGTGTTATGTACAGCCGACGCGTTCTACCTCAGCGTCTAACTACCCGCGGCTACTGTTGGTATTGAAGATTTAAGTGAGATTGACTGGTTTGAATGATTTTCGATGATTTAACGTGTTCCCATACGTAAAATATCAAAATGGGAAGAGAAACATATGACATTGAGGAGCAAAAAACGCTGATTAATAGATTGCTTCTAAGTGTACGCAATGCCAAACTGTCGAAATGTTTTATGTTTCCCACAGTACAAATCTGCTAGGAAGTTGAGGGCAAATCTCCTACTCGCGTCACGCAGAATCGCTTATAAGAATCGAAAAGGTTACACTACGAAACGGGAGGACCGTGTAACTATCTACAAACTCAAAAAAGATAAGATCTTGTATATTGTCCTCCAGAGCAGATTAAAAGACGTGGGTGGACTCGCTTTGTCGAACATTACGCATTGTCGCCGATTCAAACAGACTTAGTTCAAGGGTAGTAGGCTTATCAAGAAATTTCGATTGAATGTTCGAGTAAAACAGACACGTCTTCATTCGCAAATCAGACAAAAAAACTACCCCGTTGAGAGTTGGGAAAGTTTATTGTTCAGGCGAATCCCATTGAAAGTTTTTGGAAAAACGCCCATCATGTCCTTAGATGTGTTGATGAACGATTTTAGAAAACTGAGTTGTGTCGAACACCAACATCCAACATAATCCATGATGTAATCTCTAAATTCGGGCAAAGGTGCTATAATAATACATTTTACAGAGAAGGTACTACAAAGATAGTATGTAAAGCAGCAGGAATGTACTGAGATCGACCTGATGCTAACTGTGTCCTCGTGCACTATGACTTACCTTGTCACAGAACATGGAATATCTTAAGCTGCTCGTTCAGCACGATGTTTAAGTACTGCTGTAGCTCGCTAATTCAGCAAATTTTAATCCCATAAAAAACGTCTGAAAAATCGGAAACAACAAATCTTTGTTCCGGATCCTCAACAAATATTACTGGCGTACGGCAACGAGATTCACTTATAATATCAGTTAGTGAAAAGCTGCACCAGAAGCATCCGAAGAGCAGCAACATTTAATTAAGTTTGTCTATTTGGTTGAGCACCATATGTATATGTGTATATATACCCGCGTGAAAAAATCTGAGGCTACCCTGTTGTTTGAAATAAAGCAACCTTGATGCTGAAGCAAAAAATAGTTGATTAACAAATAACTAGAGTGTTGGGAAGAAATTAAACCGACAAAGTGGTTTATTTACGACTGACAGCAAGAATCCAAAGTTTTGTTTTTCACATTATTAATTATAACACGTACGAAAGATTTCAAAGAAGAACATATAAACCAGCTGTTTGTCCCACTTGTATCTTATTTCCCAGCTTTCTATGAGTGTGCGTAAATATGAACATTCGGATCTGACGGATTAATAATTAAAGATAATTGACGTCTTTAGGATAACAGAATTAGCTTATGCACACAGACATGCGTTTCTCAAGTTTTGGAAAAAGATCGTTCTTATCCAGATCTTTTGAATTAGTCAATCTTACCCGCATGTGCTTTATATGAAAAAAGATAACATCTTTCATTCAAGTGCTATATATATATATATATATATATACATATCATTCCGAGGAAAAAGATGAGATACTGTCAATGCTTCTGAGGGGTTGTCATTAATATTAGGATACCACAGGGTTCCATTGAAAAACTAAATTTTCAGTTTAGGTGTTATCTTTCTGTTAGTGCTATATGAAACGGACATAATTACATCCCGACATAATTCCTATGGAAACAAACCTTGAAATAGATTTCTTCGTAAACTAAAAACAGCCCGGTTAACCGTTTTTTTAGTAAAAAAAAAAAAACTCTGTGTGAAAAAAGTTAAAAGGAAAAAGGCTGGGTATCACCCAGAGCGGAAAAAATCGCACGACTACGGACTTAATAACCACAAACACTCTCCATCTTGTCGTGCATAAATGCACATACTGTATTCGAATCGTTTTAATGCCGACTACAACTCGAGGCACTCGTAGGCACTTTGCGTAACGTTCAGTCCACTTTATGTCGATTCCTGTGCGCAGAGTGACTTCGCAGCTTTCCCACGGTAATATTGTAACATATAATTTTAAAGCTATAATACAGTTAGTGATATTTCGTAGCATTCTAAAAGAGGCATACCCCTTTATGATCTTGCTTGTCTAATAAAAATGTTTAACAACGTCTTAGGACGTTGTTAAACATTTTCAACTGACGTGCTCTGGGGTTTATTTGTCAATCTGTTTTGCTTATTTATACAGGAAATACGGGGTTGAGGTGTGAAGGTGTACAATGGCTGAGGAGTGTCGCCACCGACAAACTTAAAGTTAAAGGAGATTGCCTAGATAAGGACGATATCGTGCAGAAAATCAAGTAATACCAATCTGGTGACTATAAATGAGCAGACACCTGAACTCAGGAAATCTCGGAATAGAATTCTGCTTGCACACAACTTAGCGACATGAAGACCAACTGAACTGGCGGATCGAAAGCTGTTTTTGTACTTCTTAGCTCCCACGCTAAGTGACCTCGAGGCTTAGTATTTTGATGGTAAACGTACAGTAACCAAAATCGTACGTTTTCCTCTGTATCACATTAGCTCTTTCTTGCTTTCCATATATATATATGCATGTACCATTTCCATATATATATATATATATATATATATATATATATATATATATATATATATATATGCTATCAACCAAATTGCTCATGAATTATTTGGTTGTCTTTATAGGAAGGAGGTGGTTTGTTGCTTCCACAGCCCAAAAAGACGCCAAATAAAACAGGTTCCTTTCTATGTTGACACATCTTGTTGTATTTAAATTAGCTAATATATTGGAAGCTATGCCTTCCAAGTTCAATGTTAATATTTAGCACTACAATATTTAGTCCAGCGATAAAATATAACTCTATTAGTACCTTTGGTAACGAATTGAAAGGATCCCAATTGGAAACGCTACGCTCACCAATTATGAAACCTTCCAAAGGTACAGACTTACTCCGACTCGTTCACAGTCTTTGTTCGACTGACTTGTCAGAGTTGATTCTTTCTAAGATACATTTCTACTTTATATTTCTTCTCTGGAAAACGATGCCTTTACCTTCACTGATGCCGTCTTGTTATACTGATTGTTTTATTTAGTACAAATTTTGATCGAAAATGTCCTAAGGTTCACTAACTACTCGTTTTTATCTACGAATCTTAGCACGAACAGCAAAGAGCAAACGCGTTCAATCCATTTCGGCACTTGTTCACTATTTCACTTATTGCTTAGTTTCAGTGATCTGTGAACAACCTAAAGAATTCGCTTTTCGTTGTTTTCTTTATAGTCGTTTTCCATTGCAATGCTTAGTTTCAGTTAAGAAGCCGACACTCTTAACGAGACGTTCGAGAAGGCGAAATCGCTAGGGTTCGAACACTCAGACTTGCTTTTATTTGACATTACTGAGTAAATGGTTAGAGCTTTGCGTCTAGCACTGGTGTTGAGTAAATATTGTTTCGGACGGCTGGCTCCCATTAAGAATCTACGTGTACTCATGCTTTTTAGACCATCTTGCATATGCTATTTGCTACCGTGTAATTTCAATCGCCCCTTAAATCGCACTTACCTTGTTGGGGGAGCTCCTTTACGCATCGACAGAAAACACGACCCATGTTTATCTCCGCAATTTTGCAACGGCCGGGAAACAATCCAATTGCTTGCAGATAGGTGAAAAAACGCAAGAATTGCGCTTTCCCGTAGAAATCGATTTAGAATATATGAGATAAAGATAGGCTCCCCGGATGCTGGTCCTTATGTTGATCGTAGTGGTATATTCAACCCTAAAATCAATCGCAGCTTGTTTCAGTGAATACTGTGAACACGTCGGGTCTGTGGCATTAAGAGTCCACTGTTAAGAGATGAAGTGCATTTGGCGAATCGCTTACCTATTTAGCTAGTTTGCACAAATAACTAGATTGTTTGAAGAAATTTCCCCTAGCAGAAGCGACTGATCCTCTTGGTTTATTACAGACGGATGAACCTTGGTTGCCTAAGGTTGGCAATTACGGCGGGTAATCCCGCTCTTCTGAGTGGAGCGTAATTACTTACAATAGACAAAGTAAATTAGCACCTCGTAATACGCAGCGTAAAACACAGAAAGTATTGTAAGTCGATTACACTCATCATTTTTATAGTAACACATGATCCGGTTCTGAACCGATCTATGCTCAACTGGGAGACAGAGTGAGATTAACAGCAGCAAATAAAAGCTCTATTTTCATCAATGCACAAACTATATTTTTATTTAATATTATAATAATAAAAATCCAAATATCCCTTTGCTTTCTACCATATTTGTGAAGGAATGACAATGAAAGAAAGATTGAGTTTTTTTCATAACGTCATTGTTCTTGCTAGTCCTGCCACAAAATACGCACACACACATATATATATATATATATACATATAACAGCAATGTTATCAACACTATGACAAAAGAAGGACAACTTTGCTTTTTCTATATATATATACGTATATCAAAACACTCGGCTGTAATGTTATTAGCAAAGTCAATGCGAACTTTGATTAAGGTGCAGGTTGATAATAGTTATTTAATTAATAGGAATGAGACATATAATAGGAATAAGATAGCGTAACACTTGAATCAGAATAACTAGACAACAGAAAAAAGATCGCGCCAACACTTTTAAAGATGATAATGACATGTCTACGTGATGCGCATTCAATTAATCGGATAAATGCTATGTTTATGGCAAGCAGTAATTGTGTGCGATAAAATGATGCACTGATGGCTTCAATCCGGTTTGTGATCGAAATCAGTGTACGTTCAAAATCAAATGGTTGTAAGTGATAAATGGTGACATAAAAAAAAAAGTGAGTCGATGTATTTTAGCTACTTTCTTACGTATAGTAGAGAAACTCTATAAAATAACTCGAACAAAAAATGTTTCTTCGTAATCAATAATTTTGGAAACAAAAGACGGTATAAAAGTGCTGCCATTTGCTTGAGTTATCTCGTACAAAAGGTTAAAGCGCTGACTAACAAATCTGACTAATCTGCGAGATTCGCAAAGAGGGTTTTTGGTAAAGACTCCCATTATGATTACCCATCAGCCTTAGACGATTTTCAAGAAGCAGGCAACAGCAACGCATTGCACTTAGATTGTGGGTCTTCAAGCCTTATATTACTGCGAACATTTCGCATAATTGCTTTGTATGCAACAATGACTAATTATAGAACCTACCTAAATTGATACCAAACCTACAAATAAGGACTGCCAAGTTCTCTTTGTGAATTGAAGGCAAGCAACTGCAAACCCAGTTATATACATACATGTATATTTTTCCCTCTATATACTATTTCTAACTAGGAAAGATATCGCCGTCGGATAATAAAAAAAAATTGCTAATCATCGTTACGTTGTCATCGCTTTCATATTTAGTGTGCATTGCACACTGGATGCATACCATCGTACATAAGTCGTATGATTTCTGCATCAGCATATGAAACAAGGTTTGTATTGCTACATATTGAAAATCTTCGATACATTCGATAAATTCTAAGGCGTTAATCTGATGCTGCTCAACTGCAAACTTCCTAACTAAAACAACTTCGTGAAGAAGCACTTTTTTTTTAAAAGCTATAACTGGTTCTTGCAAAAAATATCTTAACAGTTACCAAAACATTCTTCATACGGGTATCCTTTACAAATGGGCTTAATGGTCCTTCTAGTTCTGGCGAATCTTCTGCAAAGGCCATTATTGTGTTTTTGGCTTGACTGTTATGTTCTTCAAGTTGGCCAAAATATGACAAACTTCTTCGAGGTTGAGCAATTGTGATACAGATATGGTGATGGCCTGGTTGTCCTGCAGTCATAAAGGGTTCATTCCTTGATTGTAAAATAGCCACTGTTTTTTGAGATGTCAGAAAAAATAAGGCTTATAACAATGCGATGAAAAAGCAAAGTGAATAAACAAAACACAACGCACGTTTAGTCGCCATGATGATTACGGTTAACATTATCAACAAGTCATCGGAAGCGTCTCTTTGGTAAGTTATTAAGGACTTACCCATACTAGGAGATCTGGTCGGGGTATGTCTTGTTAGACTTAATTAGGATTTTTGCAACAGACCTATGGAACAGCATGGTATTCAGTCGGTTGCAGGCACTGAAATTTGCTCAACACGTAAGTAAATGTGCTCCAAAGCAATAGCAAAGTGTCTGTTGACACTGTTACTGGCTGCATCCTTTTTCGTCTATTCGGTACGTACTCACCTGAAAATGAAGGCAGCGAAAGTAACACTTACAGGTGTATTTGATGTAATGTATCACAGAGGTAATCGTAGGTGTATTTAACTGTCCTTATTTACATTTATGAGGTATTATGGTCGGGCATATTTGCTCCACGAAGGAAACGATTTTTTGATCTTTTATTTTTGCATAGCATCTCTCAAGGTATACGCAATCCTACTTGTCTTGGCAGCGGCTGTGTTCTGCCTGGTTATGTGCTCTGACACTTTTGTTTAAGGCATGGGTCTCCGGGTTATGCTTAAACCCGTAGGATTTGATACATAACGCGTTATGAGGCTTACTCTTATAGCGCCGCACCTCAGAAAAGGGTGCCTGGAATCAACCGGAGCGACGCAGATTATAATGGCTCTAGTAGAAACTAACTTGGTGTAACTACTTAATTATTTAAGGTCTACTAATACCACCTACGTAATCTTTTATTCTACAGTAGTGCGTAATTTAAATGCTGCCGCATTTTAGGACGAGACAACTGATAAACACGTTTCCTGACTTTTTACGAAGAATTTGCAAAAAGGAATTCTGTCATAACAACGATGTAGCCTGATAATAAGTATTTTGCAATCTGAAACTCTACATCTTTTTTTTCAATGCGCGGCATCGAGGCTAGCGATGAAGATTGACCTTGTGTTCTGTTACGTCATGCCAAAGCCTTCAATCCTATTCAGAAGACCGATATGCTATGAGACCACTTCGGAATTACTAGTCAAAACCCACAGAAAGCTCGGTGACTTTTGATTTTTATCATGACTATCCCCTATCCATTAAATGATTTCTGCGAGGAGTACGTCAATCTACCTGAAACATCAGTGTACATGCTATAATGTAAAGGGGTCCCAAAAAAAGCCCTACCATAGGATGGTTGCCCGCGTAACTCAAGAAAGACGCCTTTGGTCTTGCTAAGGTTCCAAGTTATATTTCAACGTTTATTGAAATTAGATCAACGTCATATTGGCCGGTTCTTATACAACAGATCTGTTATGCGAAAAGTGGCAAGCATGATAATCCGCCTAAAAAACGGCCGATCCCACTTAAGAAGAAACTGTAACATTGGGGAAACAGTGGCATGCAAAGCTGTTATTTCGAATGCATAAAAACAGAAACTCATCTCGTCACGACAATACAAAGACAGAAAGGATGAGTTTACTTTGGGTTACCTTTTTGAATTTCTGAATGTGAGTGCTCTGGCCGTAAACGAGAAATTTCGCGTCGATATAACATATATGAATCTAAGAAATGCGTCCAAGGGCATGGAAATTAGCAAATTTCCTGAGATATTAGGCAGCCTAGAATTCGTACTTTAATCTTAAAGCCAATGACTGGTCTGAAAATATTAATTAGTAATAATTTATACAATATTTTAGAAATAAAAATGCTACATAACATAAAAGCAGTGCAGATATCAATAGAATAATACATAATGAATAATTGTAATCTATATATGTATATTAACCTCATTATAACAAAATAAAAAAGACAGTTTACATTGTAAGGTTGTACTGTGACCGTTTTCTACTTCTGCTGGCTAGATGTTTTTACAGCGACATTCCATTAACATTAAGCCATTTCTACTCTGATACCTACACATTTTAACTTCAACAAAGTCTAGGACATTTCCACATAGAAATTTCATACCACGTTTCAATGCCAAAAATAAAAGAGAAAACAGTTTCATCGAAAATCCGATTTTATACTGCCACACTTACTGCTGCTGTACTGATGAAAATTTTTCGGAAATCATTGGCAGGTAGAGAGGAAGTAGCTCAAAGATTTCCCACGTACATGTGTTGCATATCGGCACGCTACGATCACCCAACTGTGCTATAGTTGCAACGAAAGCAGCTGCGACTACACAACATATATCGTGTTCTCCATTAGCTCGAAGTTCAAATTTTGCCGCGTTGACTCTATCTGTCGGAGCGCCCGCCGGCCTAGGAATATAGAGATCAGCCAAGAAATGATTTTTACTAAGCACGATTCTGGGCTACCTCAGCGCGACGAAAAATAAAAACAACAATTATCTAGTGGCGAGCAGTTGTAGTGGTGATGGTGAGTGTTGTGTTATTACAACAGCACATTGGCGGTGTTCTTATCTCTGAGCCAGTGGTTAGTGTTATGAGTGGTGAACGGCCGATTTATTCGTGCAGATTTTCTATAATAAGGTCAAACTAATGTAGCTAAAGTGGACTTCGGCTAAGCTATCGCCGCCTGCGAAGTAATGTATGCTTACAATCTTTGACGTCAACCTCCTTCGTGCTGCCAATCTGTCGCCACTCGACGACGACCTATGCTTAGCGCACCCCCCTGCCAGGATGAATACTACTACAGGTAAACTGAGCATTTAATGGCGTTGTTCCACTTTGTAAGACGGACTCAGTGATGCGATCCGGCAGTTTACGTTGACAGTGTTGCTAAACATAATTTTATCAGTGAAAAATAGGCTGAATAGGCTTAGAAATAACGAACTTTATGCATTGTTATCATTTAACGTTATCGCATGTTTTCGGTACACTGATATACAGATGCCTTTCACACGAGCATACTGTAGTAAACATTCTATAATGCACCAAAACGTCTTGTAACCAGTGTTTCGAGGTATCCAATAGCCTGCTGCCAAACGGTAGTACTCAGTGCTCTGCAGTATTTCATTTCAATAAAGAAGAACTAACTGACCTGTCTCTCGTATTTGTTTGGTGAAAACAAAGGCGCTACCTTCTCTCTACTATCATCATCATTATCGACATCAATCACGATTTGCTGCTGTGGCTGTCTCAAAGAGAGCGCGTTATGATCAAGTGCGGTGCGATGCGCCGCGCCGCTGCTCAACCTTGACGAGATCTCAACGACATCTTGTTTCCAGCATCACGGGATACTTGATTCCGTTCGGCTCTTGTTAATCCAAATGCCGTGTTATATGTATGTCATGTCTTACACCTGGTTAACTTAATGGAAGTGTGGAGCAACCACAATCTAAAAGTTTGCGTCTTTACTGGTATTGCGGTTGCGTTACATCGAATAAACCACTTCCCTTTCCGATAGTATACCATCTCTCAGGCGTGTCGAAAACTACTGTTAGACATAGTATTCCATGCTTTAGGAACAATAGCAATCTGCCTAGTATCGGTAGAGTACACGGCACTATTGCATTGGCTCGCTTGTGTTAGGTAATGCAAATTGCATGTCGCGATTGACTCTCCAAACCCTAACAAATCCGGCTTCTTATTGTGACGTTGGCTTGAAAGGTATCAATATAAGATACGAACAGTAGCTGAGCTTCATCTCTGATTGTTGAAGTCGCCATCAGCTTGTAGTATTGAAGACAAGTGTGTAAACTCGCCTTATTTCGCATGCGGGCATTATCCCGCCGCTTCAATGGCACTTTAAATGACATCGTCAGGACGGAGAGCATTGCTTAATGTTAAAAGGCGACTCTTCAAGTGTGCTCAGGTTTGAAAAATTTTCTACAAAATGTTGTCTCGAAGGGTCGGCCATCTTCTTGAACCTCATGAAGTTAACGATACAACCCGGACTGCTACTGCACTCCGGTTAGCGAATGAGGAGATCGCCGATATACTGAAGCTTTTAGTTGTATCAGACTACGATGGAGCGGCTGAATTAGTTGAACGACAACTTCCAGGGACAGCTCACAAAACTAACCTAGACGTCCCCATGGGAAATCAATTCATGAGAAATAAGCATACTGATTCTACGTACTCTTTGAGAGCGCCTAACATAATTAAGGGGTCCGTCAAAGAAGACTCTGCTAGAAAAAAGTTAAACTCTTCTCCTAAGGGAAGCGAAAACTACGAAAAGAGAGTAGGATGCCAAGTCCCAGGACAGGGAAACGGGAAAATGTCATGTCACCCACAGGTTAAGTCTGCTAATTATAAAAAGCTGGAGATCCATCAGATTATCCATTCCAATAGCACTACGGATAATACACGAGCAAGTAAAAAAAAAATCAGGAGATTGAAAAAACATCGACGGGATCCCAAGACAACCTTTAAAGGTATATCTAAGTTGGAAAAAGGGGCGCGTTTTATAACGAGAAGCCATTTCAAAGAAAAGATGTTCTGTTGTACCAACGTATTAGCTTTTACGAAAAACGTACCCGATGCTACAAACGGAAGCATGCATGAAAAGACAGGGAAAAATTGTACGCCCACTGTCAGACTCCGTGGTGGAATACTATATCAAGACCGAAATTTAGTTCAAGCTCCAAGATGTGATGAGCGTATGACAAAAATTTATCACAAACACGGCGGTGTTGGTGCTAGTGGTGACAGGTTCTCAATGTCGTCATCGCCATTGCCATCTGGACGGCCTAACTTATTAGAACTGTGTAACAGCCCCGGTAGTGGTAAGATAAGCTTAAGTTCCTCACGTGTTAGTAGAGTCACCTCCAGGTTAACCTCAATTTTATATTTTGGTATACAATTTGATATGAATATCTTGAATATCTTTCGTTTGGTGGTTTTGAGCGATCTAAAAGGCCACTAAGTTTCCGATTATTATAATGCAATTGAAGTAACGGATTTGTCGACCAAGCTGGCAACGGAATTTGTATATTAGTTCATAGGGTTTTTAAAAAAGTTGCTGCCCTTTTTTAATTACTTCAATTTTTATTTAAAGATTTTTCTGGATAGCCAGATTGATTACATGTAATCTTGGAAACCTTTGTCTACACGTGCCTCCTGTAATTGCTTTGTACACCAAACGGAGTTTCATGTTGAGTTCAAGCTCTAAAAACGGTGATTCGAAATGGCGAAAAGCGATTGTTAACGCTTCTATATTTTGCTTTTTACCAAAGTTAAAAATTATAAGACTAAATCAAATATTTGTATAGATATCTCCAGAAATCCATTCGAAATTGGCTTGCTTAGTACAGCACTTTGTTTACTCAGTCCATGCCGCGCAATTTTTAATCTTCGAAATAACGCTTTTCCATCATTGATGCACCTGCATTAAATGATCAAAAGGTTAAAAAATTCTCCATGTCATTAAAAAAACCACACATTTTCAACTGCAAGTTGCGTAGAACAAATACCGCTATACAGATTGAATAACGTGCTGTTACAGTTTTTCGTGCGCGCCGCTGTTAGATCGTGCCAGTTCACCGCGGCAATAAACATTAAACTCAATGTTAAATGATAAGTGTTAGATTCAAACTAATCCTTTTTGTAGTGTAGTAAAAAACGAGAAACGGTATGCTTTTAATATAGAACGATGATTTGCGAGAGCTGTGTAGGAAAAGGTGGAACTATATGGGCTAAAATTTGCTCACCACTATCGTTGAAAACGAACGATACTACGGGAAAGAGAAACATTGTACCAGTATATTCCTCAGAAACGCTTTTATCAAGGGGCATAAATAACAATAAATACAATTCATAGATTTTCACGAAAATGTCAGTTGAGGCTAAATATGTTGACTCCACATGATGGGGTTATATGAGCCAAAAATAAGGCTATATGAGCTACTGATGTTTTTATGCGAGGAAATTAGTCATTCAAAGAATCTAAAAGGAAAATGCGTTTCATTATCAAAAAAGCTGCGATTATTGGTTACAGAACACTATGTCTTATAATAATTTCAAACTGAAAACTCAAAATTCATAATTTTTCTACCACAAGTTTACATGAAGATCTTCTTCGCAGTATAAAACCGACTTTCGACCCGCGCATCTACGAATTGCATTTTACTCTAGAAGAGAGGGTCCATAGCAATGTGCACGCCGTTTTTTAAAGCCAACTTAATGGGACTGAAGCCCGTACAACTATCGTGGTTATCTACAATTTTGGTATAAGTAATTGCCTATGTTAATATCTAATTTATGATGTGAAGTACGTGTCAATAAAAAGTGCAAATCCATAGTGCTTTAATTTAGCTTAACATATGTACACGTATATACGCATTTTTACTAAGCTTCAATAAGGTTAGCGTCCAGCTTCATGTATTGTCGAAATTCAGTGATATGTGTAGTTCATAGGGTTTTCATGTAACTCAGATAACTTTCATATAGATTGCCTCCAGATATTTGGGTGAACGAAACTGGTAACAAAAAAGTGACTAATTTATTTCTTTATCGTTCAATAGAATATTGAAAGCTCCATAAAATAAACTGAAGATTTGGAATCAAAGAAAGAATAGTAACGCGAATGATACTTCGACCAACGTATACTTAAAGAATTATGGAAGTTAAAAAACTTTAAATAGATGATCTGTTGCTACAAGAAACGGAGTGGTCCATACAAGTTTTGCAACTTCTCAAATTTCCACTTTCCGTAACGGAGGTGCGTTCTAAGTAAATTAAATAGTATATACATTTATAACCAACTAACTGCAATCGCTATTCCGATAATGAGTCTTTTCAATATTTGAACTGTTGGATTAGTACTCTGCAGAGTTATCTTACAAAGTCTGAATCTGGTCAAAACAATGTACGCTGAAAGCGACGATGTCGCCTACAAACGTACAACTGTATATTCTTGTGGTCAGTATGAGGCAAAGTAAGGAGTGAGACAACACGCTGTCTCTTTAAAAACCAGGGATATACGTGACCGTCTGCAAGTCCATGCATGCCAATAGTGTAAGGCTGCTTGGAGTTTCAAAGATTTATAAAGAACAGCGGAAGAACCACTCATTATATTTGACATAAAATACCGGAAATGTGTGGTTCCTTGAAAACTAAATAGATCTGATAAGTGCAAAAAACATAATTGTGCGCCAAAGGCTACAAACTAATTCAACCTACATTGAAATATGCTTATCATTGCATTACCACGAGATTTCTCAGACTTCTTAAACGTTGTGGTAACTGTTATAAACACACTTCCAATGGGCAATTAAGAATAAATGAACCAACTGCAAAAATTCACGAATTTCTAAAGATCTACAAGAAAGTGGATATCGTTTGTTTCAATAGAGACAAAGTAATCGGAACGACTGAATCCATTGAATTGAAGTTCAAGTAGTACTGCATTATCAATATGAATAACTGGTTAGGATTGAGACTGAGAATAAAAATATAGCATCGTTCCCATTACAAAAATTACCTATTGCGCGATCTGAGACAAGTAACATTACATTTTCTACCAAAAACATATACGGAGTTCCTCTTTATCGTACATAAACATGTGCTAACTAAATATTTTTGCTGCCATTTCAGCATACTCAGGATCCATTGCATATCTGATCATTGAGGGCGACCATTACAATTGTATGCTTTCTGATGATTTTGTGTGGCCATTTTTTATCTTTCGCAATTTAAGTATGCTCGTTGTTAATTCTTCAAGTAAGCCACTTTTGAACGTATTCATGCATAAGCTTTGCACATAAATTTTAAAGAAAGAGGAGATAGCAGTACACTATTCTGCAGTTTCAAAATAGTGCGGCGCTTTACATTAGAACTAAATTTATAGTTTTCGTAGACCTTTGATTTTAGCTAGCAGATTTGAGCGTCGAAAACTAAAATTTATGATAGATGCAAAATTGTTGATGTAAGTCGGAAACTGAGGCATGTTAAACAACGCTGACGCTGACAAGTGTTTTATAAGAATTGTCCAAATACACTTGGTCCAACACTATTGGATATATGCCGTTTAAAAAATGTTTATTCCTTTCGCTTATGCTCTAGGGGAGTGCCTTTTATGTAATTTATACAATACAGTACATTTTTTTAATTCATTCGACTTCAGTTTAGCCGAATGGCGCTTATTCAAACCGAATAATTTACAATGTGCATCTTAGATAATGTTTCGCAAAGCACGAAATGCTTGATGAATAGTGAAGGTCACAAACTGCACTGGTATTAAACCTGAGAATAGTGTAATGGACATTTAGCATAATACGAGTTGTAGAAATAAATGTTTGCTCGTTTTTGACGAAATTTAACCCGAGTTTTTTTCCTCCTCAATAAAGTCATCGGTACGTGAACATCAGCCTCCGATATTAAAGTTCTTCATACTATGTTTTCAGATCTACCCAAGCTTCGTTGCTATTGCAACGACTGCACAACATCTAACTACACGTGTGAAACAAATGGCGTTTGTTTCGCAGGGACGAAAAGGGTAGACGGTGATAAATACGAGTTCTACTACAGGTAGGAGACTATAACCTGAAAAAAAAAGATAAATAATAGTTATCACCCTTCAAAACGTTGGTGTCGCAATTAAAACTTTGTGCAATTTTTAATAGATTGAATAAATTATATATGGTTTAAGCTTTAATTACTTTACGGTGCCGAGACTTCTTAATTAAGGAGCCTTACGTTAAAGCATGCCTCGTTCTTGAGAATCTTCGTCTGCAAAGCTGGAGCTCACTTGTTCGAAGCTAAGTCGAACCCATTCATCCATTCCGCCTTACACTTTTATTACATGGCAATGCGTGTTGATCTACATTTTTCTCAGTCTTGTAAAGGGGTAAATTCCCATTTGGTTATGAGTGGAGCTTGATATAGTACACAATATAAGTCGGTTACTCTTATGGATATAACGTGTAGATAACTGGGCATAACGATTTCATAGATGCTTTCATATGCTAAAAGTGATTCTCAAATACAATTAACCGATTCCGTGTGACCTTGTACTTGGTCTGTTTTCTATGCGATATACACACAGATACCGATAGCTCGCAGATGTGACCTGTTTAGCAATTCTTTAGCGATTCAAATAATATGTACATTTATTTTATAGAACTACCAGATCAATTGAAAACCTTAACCCATTTTGTGTGAGTAGAAAAATGGTGAATGACATAGGAGATCGCTAATTTATATATTTAGTAGGCACTTTTGAAAAAGGTATCTGTATTCATATAATAGTCTATTACTGGTCTTTGTTCATCGGTTGCATTTGTTCTAAATAGAATCTTATTTTTCATTTGAGACACACTTCGCGTGTTTCAAGACCGATATCAACCAGCGACACCCGAGGCCATGTCCGTGAAGCTTTGAGGGAGAGCGGGAGTCCCTTCTCTCTGCCATCGTGATGACCATAACGTTCCCAACATAAAAAGCCAACTTGGGTCAACATTAGTTTATTTGTCAACAACAAACTTACATTTACGAAAAATTATTCATTTTTGTAGATAAATTATAATGCAAGAAAATTATTGCTATCTTCTCGGAAATTTCTCATCGTACAGGTGTCCTCCGTCAATAGTGTAAATTACCCGAAGTACATTTATCGAATATCTTGGTTCTTTAGATTCATAAGGATTCTCGTTTCCTTTAAGATAAGAAAAGGCGTATGAGAAGTCAATTGCACATTAAAATAGTTACCCTTTTTTACATATTCTGTGCTACACACACATAATTGTATGCGTAATATTTGGTGCGACGATGATGTTGGACTAAAATCATCCTTCTGTCTAACGACTGACTTATCTGAAACCAACACCTGCGACCGCCTATGGGGACTGATTTTGTTACCCACCACAACAACATTGGCGATGACGACGTGGGCGACGGCAACAACACCTAAACAAAATGTGACCGATTGTAAAATGTGGTGACGGCCCTGCTTATCCGTTTGTCACTACATGTATATATACATGCACGATCCATCCTTGTGGCTGCTGGTGCTACTGCCTTGTGGCTGCGCAGTTGTGTGGGCCAAGAAGAACTACAACCACCACGCAAACCGCTTATATGTGAAACAGCCGAAACTCCCAACAAACAATTCGTTAAGGTGGAGTGCTGCACTACTGACATGTGCAATCAGAACCTACCTGGTATTCGTAATGGTACGTCAACAGAGAAACAAGGTAAATGGTGTGGTCCTTTCTATGACTTGATCATGACGATGATGATCGAACTCTTCTTTCAATTAAATCATTTATTGGTTACTCTCGGCTTCTGTACCGGCACTTCAAAGGGTAGCTGCATGCATGGCTGTTTGTTGGTTAATCAATCAACAGAAAGCCAATTCAAGCAACCTCAGCTCAAAATTCATTCATTTGCATTTTTATTCCTAAATATTTGTCAAGGCTCGCGTACCTTTGGAAGCAAAGAAATGCTGAGCTAGAACCCGGACTGCTCCTCTGTTCTACATGCCGTTCTATTCTGCATCTTTTCATTTTCATAAAACTCCTAATTTCCATGCCAGTCTCGTACCTTACCCATCATTGACAAATCAGTATAACTGAGGGAACCTTGTATTCACGAGGCTTCAACACGACACTTCAAAGGACGGTGACATAAATTAACACGCAATTATTGAGGAAAGGCTTTTCAAGATTTCGTTTTTGTTATGGTCTACCAGAGAGAAAGCAGGATGGGCTTGCTGCATATGTTTTGTGGGTTCCACTAGCGTTTTTCGTCAGAGGGAGTGTCAAGGTGGTTGGGTGTCATGATGTACATCGGTGTACTAAAAATACTATTACTAATAAATGATAACCGTGGAAATAATCATTGGACATTTTAACGGAATGGACATTGGACAAACATATGAACGAGAACTGCTATAAAACAAAGATACTAGCTGCTATTTATTGACGAATGCTGACTGATTCCTAACAGTCATTCAAGACATCCATATACGGTTTACTAATATACTAATTATCTCTAGCTAAAACACAAAATAGGTAACGATAACGGTAATGGGTCGCCAAAAAGCCTGTGCTAATTAATCGCATTTTTCTTATAAAATACACGTTTTTTTCTGGAGCATTTGTAATGTGTTGTTTATTATTTTGAAGTATTATTTTTGAAGATTCTGGCGAGTTATGTATTTCTGGACGATAGGGTTCGTGACTTAATCAGTTTGTTGCCCTGATTACCTGTTTAGACTATCGAATAAAAGTAATACAAAAAAAAGGGGGTTTATTCAACTTGTTCGTAAAATGTCTTTTTATGAACAAGTTGAATAAACCCAGTTCGTTGAGCTTTTGACTATACGATTATGATAATACTCACCTCATAGTTTTTTCCTAGAGTATTACCACTGAAGAAGAGCTTGATTTAAATTGCCGCTATGAAACAAAAATTTAGCTTAGCATAGAATTTAATTCTAGTCGTTTGAAGATGCTCTGCATTACTTCTGCTGTGCAACGACAATGGGCTTGGTAAAACCGCAACGATTTGACGCAATGAGCCAACATTTCGTATTGGAGAATGGTAAATTATAATTCGTATACATTTTAGCAAATGTACTTTGTCGTAGGCATTAGTATGAACGCATACTATATTAGATGTGGTTGCACTTGAACCAAATTTTTCTACAGAGTGCTATTTTGAGTGAATCGTTAGAGGTACGTAACCACCTAGTAAAGCTTATAGCAGAATCACTGATCTGATAAGTAATAAGTATTCTTTGGCGCTAAATTCAATGCAGTATATGAAAAGCGGTAAGAAATAAAAAAAATAAAAAAAATTTGTGATCTGTATAAAATTAGCTTGCGGTGCTTTACTAGAATTCATGCGGTAAGTGCCTACACTCCAAAAACCCAATATCGCCATAATAATTATATTATTTTTCGCGGGCCTGTTTGGATAGATGTCTCGACAAGCCGAGAATGTTTCCCGGAGAAGATTACATTAGTCAGTGTAATAGGACGAGTACGGCCAACCAGTTCGATACGCGTTTATCATCGACCCCAGCACATTCTATACGGGGACAACTCAAGCTTGGGCACAAACATGACTTCGTTCCAGAGGAATCGAACTGGTGCTGCGACTCAGAAGAGATGTGTAACCGCAAGCTCTCTCCTGAAAAGGCGCTTCAACCCATTGGCATGAAAGGCCCAGGTAGCAATAGTGAAAGAAAAGTGAAAGTCGAAAATCTTCTGAATCCGATACACTTGTGGGGTTTTGAGACATGAGACACTATTCGTATTGCAATATAATCAGTTGGCCTGTGTACACAATATATCCAGTGATAATGTCATAAATTTAAGTCGCGCTGCTGTTAATCTGAGTGGTGTCTCTTGTTTCAATCTCAGCAACCTTCCACCTCATCTAAGGTTGCTGCTCTTAACGCTACATTGTCATTAAGCCCAGTCTGCTATACTGCGGATGGTATTCCTTGTCAGTCCTTGTCTAGCCTGCAGCAACAAAGAGCGCTAACAGGACAAACCGTTTTGCTCCTCGCGTTGTTGTCGTTGTCGCTTTTGTGTCCTTTGAATGCTCACCAAAGCACCAAAATACAAACCTACCTGCTGTTGCCCAATTACTTTTTTCTAGTACTTGCACACGAATTCAGCGTTGTTCTTCAATGTGGACATCATTCCGCAACCGCTGTTTTCGTCTTAGCTGCCGCAGCGTGAGTTTCCGCTGTAGCTCGGTTTGCTTCGGGATATATATAAAACTAGCTATACTATATATAGCACAAATGTATACAGTGTGTAAAGTTTCAATCCAGGACAAGAACGCGGTAATTAGATAACACAGATAAACGTTGTGGAGGTGAGCCGTCTACGGGGCTCTGAGAAAGGCTTTTACCATACTTTCAATGTGATGACTCATAAGCAATGGGAAAGGTTTGATTTTTTGGAAGTAATTAACTGCCTCATGTTCGGCACAATAGATTATTTATTCACAATAAATGATGACGTTGAAGGTTGGCGGAGTTAGAAACTTAAAAAATATCGGAAATTGGTTAGTCTTCACCCACTATTGTGTCTTTCGGTATTACAGCTTATCGAAATTCCGAATTCTAAACTAATGGAGCTGCAAATTTCTCTACAGAGGTCCTAGATTGTTACCCTGGTCTGCATATTTGTCAGTATTTGATAACGCCAGTAGATTCGCAGCTCATTATTGATGTTGGGACTTCGTCATACAATTTTGTAATCCAAAGTGTCATACTCTCCGATCTAAAGGTTATCAGTACGATTTCAACGCAAAAGTAGTCTATCCATTGTAAGTCATTTGCAGAAATTTACTCATTTATCGACTCGGGATTATATTATAACTAGGTCACCAATACGGCCAATAACGTTCTCATATTCAATAATTATTTAAAAAGTACTGATTTTTTTACTAGGAGGTCAATGTTAATATGGTTAGTGTAGTGTCCAGTTTGTCACTATAATGCCAGGAGCGCATTTTCAATACAATTGAGGTTTCATTAATCAGAACGAAAGGAAAGGTTGCAAATGCTTAAGTAGAGAATAGAGTAAGCTACGAGCATGTGTACTAGTAAGTAGTACGGGTACTGGTTACGATATATTTATATATATAGCAGGAGTTTAAGTTGCAGACTAGATGTTGAATCTATACAATCTACTTGTAATGCATCCTGCGGGTGGAGAAAGTAATTAAGAGTTTTTTATCCATAACATAAACACACTAATCCTATTTAAAGACTCCTTATTCTATTACTAATCCACTTTACCCAAATGAGCATGTACTGCTAGGTCCTAGTCAGCTCATTAGCTAGTAGTTTTTTTAGTTTACTAATTTATTTACCAATATTAGCATGTGGTAAATGAATAATACATGAGTAAACGATTGACTGTATCGATTATGATTGCACCGATGTATTATTATTATTATTATCATTCGCATTCGTCAGCGATATACCAGTGGTGTCCACAAGTCTTTGCGTTCGTGTTTGTCTTCGTCCATGTCCCTGTCCTTATCCGTGATACGTCCGCGTCAAACAATGCCAAAAATGTACTGTGCAAGTCAATTGGGAGGTCGTAAAGCACCTGCTTGCGTGAAGGTTTATATATTGTTGTCATAGAAAGGATAAAATCGATCGCTAAAGAAAAAAAAACCTGTTTACTTGATTATCTTCCTTCACTCGCTGTTTTATTAGAAGTTTATTGTTTTTTTTTTGGGTTTTATTTATAGCAATACTTTAGCTATCATTTAAAAGATTATATTTAGAGCCCACCTATTGACATACACAGAAAAATACGATATAAATTCAGTAGTTGCTTTTCATCAAACTCCATCAATCGTTTGAACTTTTTTACATCTACTTTTGTTTTTAAACATTTCAGTTCAATTGATTCTGAGATAACAAACTGGTGTAACAAAAATGCTATCCCTAAATTCAATTAAATTTGTCAATACAAATCTTAATTATTCAATGGCTTCTCTTTAATTTTCCCTGCATGGCTGTGTTAAACGTATTTAAAGCGTGTAGCTCTATCCTGAGCTTTCATCTGGAGCGTAAGATCTTCATAGATTCTATTATGCATCCTGCACGATCTGGAAAGACACATGCCATTGAGTAATAACATATACCATATAGCTTTTTCATCTGCTTTATTGATTATATCGGTAAGAATTAAATCAGGATTCACCCCCTTTTTTCATCATCAAGGTCTGTCACTTTTCGTAGTCATTAAATCAACCATTTTACCATTGCTTATCTACATTATCTTCTAACTGGTCAAATTTCAGATAAATTATTCTCGTGGAGATGAATAAAAAATGTCTTTTCTCCTTGTTGTTGTTTCCCAACCGTCTTTTATTATTTACAAGCAATAGCACTGATTTATGCTCTGTGAACGATAACAAAGGTGCAGTTAAATTTTACGTGTGTTGGGTATCGGTGTAACATGTGCTATTAAAAGCCTACAATAAGCATATTTACTCGATTTTCATACATTTTAGCCTTTTTATGCACTTCTATTACCCTATGCACGTTATCGTAGCGTTTTTTCTCTAGTGGTTATTGCCTCTTCAAATTGTTTTACGTTAATTATAATTTAACCATCCCTTCATAATAATCTCACACCGCATTGTGTGCTCTCCACTAACATAACTTTTGTTTCATCGGCCGCACCTATAACGGTGGATTGTACGGGCATCATGCTTCTGTAGTACCGACTAGCCCATCATATTCGGCCAACGCGACTCTATGGCTGGCAGGGGGAATACTGTCTGTGGCCCTGGCGGTCCTTGTGGTTCTTAGCCTCACTGTTTATTACTCCAGACGTCGGAAGGTAAGAGCAAAGAATTAGAATACGTAGTAATTTAGACCAAAGAGAGTTTTTTTGTGAATGGAAGCTGACAAAACGGAAAGCGTCTAACTTCATCGTAAAACAGTGTTGAGCTCTAAGACAATTATAGATAATCATGAAGTCGTACATAATGGAGCGACAATAATTTACTGCAGTAAAGTAAATATACTGAATTCATTATCTCTGAACGAATGCGAATTATTAAATTATCAGTTTTGTTTGATTTTTTGTTGTTTCACTGTTTATCCATACAAACACTTCTCGTCTTTTTTCTGTGTTTGTAGTTATTGCTTAACGCTTGTTTATGAAGTGATATATAAGTCGTTTGTTTTACTGTTATACGATATTTTATTTAGAAAAGCAGTGTTCAGTAATCGTTTCTCTTGCTTGCTACAATTAGAAAACTTTGGCTATCGCACGAGAGGTTCGATTAAATAATTAATAATAAAGAATAAATAACAGTTCAAATAAATTTAGAGTGGTTTTACATGTTCGCGACTTGCAATTGTATTTATCGAAACGCTTAATTTATTATTGTCTTAAATTCCCAGTTAGCAGCAGAGTCTATGAAAAAATCTTTCGGTTTCAGTAGTGATGGATTATGCTTACAGGATCGTGATATGCTTGAGCGGGCGGAAGGTGGTGAGAGCGAGCCAATGATTTTACCACCAGGTAGCATTCGAGACCTATTGGATATGACTACCTCCGGATCGGGGTCGGGTCTGCCGCTGCTCGTTCAGAGATCTATTGCCCGACAGATCACCCTCTTAGAGACCATCGGTAGTTACGTTCATTCAAACTTCACCGCATACATGCGATAAAAAGCTTCGATCATAATCTAATCACTAAAAAATTAGACAGAACTAATTTACGGATTCATGCTTTTGCTAGTGCAAGGCAAGTTGTGTTATAATGCATGCATCCATCTTTTAGGATTAATCGCTATATTTTATGCAAGTTACGAGTATATAGCTGGTTCATTAGTGGAGGGGTAAAAAGCAGACGAAGGGCATTGATAAGTTGAATGCGTCTTTTTGACTCTCTACGCCATTGACCTTTGGCTTTTAGACGATTATCTTGGTTCGGACGACGATTGAAAGAATTGCTTCTGTGGCTCCCCAAGACTGAATCTTCTCTACTATGTTATGATTGCCCGTATTTCACATGAAACGAGTGCTATCATTAATGCACCACATCTAGCTTTTTTTTTTCTTTTACGTTTTTTCTTACTTCAGTTACATTGACGTTCCAATCAAGGGCAGCATAAAGTACAGAAAATATTGACAATATTGATGTCGGCAGGTTCATATCGAGCATTCTTGATACAGCTGTTTGAGAGCCAAGATAATGAAACAGTCATCGACGATGTTTTACGCCGTATTAGACAGTGTACCTTATAAAATCATAGTCTAGTTACGCTACATGTTGGAATGAATAAAGTGCAAGAAGGCATAGCTCTATTGAGAGAAAGTAGGTGGAATACGATGAAAAATGTATTGCTAATGAACTCGTTCTTTATATTTTTGATAACGCACTGCGGATCAATCGCCAGAAGGACGACTTACAGCCTAGAATCGATTAATAATTTCTAAATTCCTTGAACAAAGACACAAGTAACCCTTGAATCGCTACTAATGGCACTATACATTTACTTCACTTTATGTAATACGAGCGCACTCTTTTCATAGATATCGGATGATGGGTGCAGTGCAAGCGGCCATCGACAGTTGGTACATCCAAATAACTTAATTATATCATTTACGCGATATTCTTCTTGTGAAAGATTTCTATGTGTGTTCTTTATAATCAATTAGCTCGACACCTTGCTAAAGCGTTTCACAGAAGTACAAAGTAATTCAGTGTTTCGCTACTTTATTATTAAAATGCAGGAATTTTGCACAATCCCTAGGAGGTGCAGTCATGCGATTATTTGTCAACTGCTGCGAAGTTTAGAATCCTATCTCAAGAAGCACACGAAAGCGACTCGACACATACAAGTCACCTTTATCTATTAGGTAGATATATCAGTCAGGTGCCAGGTTGAACGAAGCATTATAGATTCGGTGCTAATTGTACATACATGCGCACAGGTGGCGATACTTACCAATCCATAGCTGGCAGATTTGGTAGAAGCTGAAACCCTAAATATTTTAATATCAAACTCAACTATCCGCAAAATAGTCGGATTGTATCATCCATAGAGAGATTGTTAGGATCGAAAGCCTAATGTCTATGATTGGTTTTTCTGCGGACTATTCAAATAACGTCAAGGCAGTTCGGCCAGTTCTCAAAACTGGAAATACCTTTTTGTGTGATAGCACAGCATGCTCTAGATAGCAAAATGTAAATGATCTCATAAATATACTGTCGTAGTTATGATTCATACTCGGTAACTCATAACGTTAGAAGTGACCCTTCAATTAGTTCTGAGTCCATTAATAGTCGAGTGCTCGGCTTGACTTTAAGGAATAGGCAAGAAAATTGGCATAAAAGTAATAATCTCAATTTTCTTCTTCCACTGCGTGTTCCTAGGGAAGGGAAGATTCGGTGAAGTTTGGCGAGGTCGATGGCGTAGTGAGAACGTGGCAGTTAAAATTTTTTCGACGCGTGATGAGCGGTCCTGGTTCCGTGAAGTAGAAATTTATCAAACAGTGATGCTGCGGCACGACAACATTCTTGGCTTCATCGCTGCTGATAACAAGGACAATGGGACATGGACGCAACTATGGTTGGTCACCGATTTCCATGAAAAGGGCTCTCTTTTCGACTACCTCATGGAACATGTACGTAACACAGACAGTGGGTATTGTTTTTTGAACTATGCATATAAACTGCACTCTGTTTTGCTATCGAAATAGACACCAAACTTATTATAAATGCCATTATTCTATTTGTAATTAATACGTGATTTTTCATTTGATCTTGGCAGACTGTGGATCCATATACGCTTTCAAAAATGGCATTAACCATTGCGAACGGTATTTCGCATCTACATATGGAAATCGTCGGGACCCAAGGCAAGCCAGCTATCGCGCATAGAGACATCAAGTCGCGCAATGTTCTTGTCAAAAGCGATTTAACCTGTGCTATTGCTGATCTTGGCTTGGCTGTGCGTTACGATTCGGCTACACGTTCCATCGACATCCCGCCCAATAGCCACGTGGGCACAAAGAGGTATACTTAATTGTAGGGAGCTACTGCCTGTCCCCGTGATAGCTTAGTGGATGACCTATTTGCGTGCTAACTATAAGGACGCGTTGCGTTCTAGCTTCGAACTCGAGCATAGATAGACTTCATTTCGTGTTGGGTGCCAATCATCTGATGGCATGCCTAATAGCATGCCGTTACCGGACGTAAAACTCGAAACATGAGGGGTATTACTGCCTAGGCAGAAATGCAGTAAGTAGTGCACTTTTAATAAAGATATCTTACTTCAAATAGACATTATTACTTCACGCGGAAGATAATTAGAATTAGAGCAGAGTGAAGGTCAAAGCTGAAAAACCCACCTGAAGAATAATTGAACCTGCCAAAACCAATTTATCAATGATTGTGCAAATATAATATGTACAGCTCAAAAAGAGTTTTATTTTAAGTGTTCTTTGTCGCCTTTAGCGCTTTATATATTCCAATATGCTTAGTGGACGGGATGTTTATTTTAGTTTTAAAGTCATATTAGCATAGTCATATGTTACAGCGGTCTTTCCCGTTTTACATACACATACATGATTTTAAGAATTCGAATGGCTAATACAACTTTGGTTCCTAAAAACAATTAGAATTCCTCTTTCTTTAGATAGAAATTTTGATTGTGAATAGAAGACCACTATTCAGAAGGAACACAACGATACTTCGATAAAAGTTAATAAACGATGAATTTTGAGTGGCAATGCCCTGATGATGTCGTACGGAGTATAAATAACGTTAATATCTGAGATGAAACGAAAATAGGCAAAACCGTTTTAGCTAGTTATATTTTTGTAATTAAATATGCCACTAAACTCAGCTTTGTTTGTAAATTTGGCCACGTCACCAATTGCCATGATAACTTTAGTTGTCGCTGTTAGTGAAAGCGCGAATTTTTAAACTCTACTTAGATTCTGCATCAACGATAAAATGCCGACTATCATTCTAGACTCACAAACGTTTTATATCAAACAGACAATTCTCTATTTTAAAGACTTAGAAGGAAGGCGAGTTAGTTATTTCTTAGATCTCTGACATAGATAGGCTTCCTAATCTCGTCAAGAAAAGCTATTTCTCGCGTAGTCGAGATGTGTAATAGATAGTTGCATAATCTTTTCCTGTGGATGGTACACTATGCGTTTACAGTGCAGCTTGTTATTACCAATTATATAAGCCAATTTAATATTAAAATTTAAGTTTGGTGCATATTTCGAGTTGTCTACGTGTGTATCTAACGTTGACTCAATACTTTTACTGCTACTTGAGCTAGGTATCTGTCTCCAGAGATCTTGGATGGAACAATGGCCGTGCACCAATTTGACTCGTTCAAACGGGCAGATATGTACGCTCTTGGTCTCGTGTTGTGGGAACTTTGTCGGCGATGCTCCCTTATAGCAGACGAGTATCAACTCCCGTACTTCGATGTCGTAGCGCCAGATCCGTCTATAGAGGAAATGAAGCATATCGTCTGCGACAAAAAGTTACGTCCTACGATTCCCGAGTCATGGCACACAGCTTGCCCGGTAAGAACGATAAACCTACACAGTTATATATAAAGCGGTAGTAAAATATATCATACGGAAGGACAGGCAGGGTGTTTGTAGATGCGGGTTAATATCTGTATACACAAGTTGCTTTATCATCATGGTGATTGTATTTCAGGAATTGGTCGCGCTAAGTCGAATCATGGCTGAATGCTGGTATGAGAACCCAGCGGCAAGGTTAACGGCACTTCGGGTGAAGAAAACCGTGTCAGCCGTTGGCATCGAGCGATCGAGTCAATCGGATTCGTCGAGTGATGTTAAGGCATGAGGCATTAGTGACGCGCAAATTGCTATATATGGCGTTTAGGAACGATTGTGAAAGATCACCACTCATTTAAAAAAACATTTTCTGGGAACGCAGTTCTAGTGGCATTGTACAGAACGGTAAGAAAAATTAGCGTGGGGCACAAACATTTGTCTTGCACTCAAGCATTCAAAAAGAGTAGGGAGACCAGGGTCTTTAATAGGCGATAAGCACAATTTAATACTACTACTGTTACAGTAAGGAATCACAGATAAGAAAATGATGTAGGTAACGTTACCGGCCAAAGAACTTCACTACGAAGCGAGGTAAGGCCTAATGATGCCGTTCAATGAACGTTGCTTTTAATGATAAAATCGATTTCGATGATGTAGATGAAGCGTGCGTGTGTGTGTGTATGTGCGCGAATGATAGACGTTATGAAGTGCAAATTCATTTTAAAAAAGGCCATATTAAAAAGTACTTAACTCTGTCCATATGTAGGTCTACTCTGTGTAAGTTTATTAGTGAGTGTATTATATTGAGTATTTTTTTATAATAAAGTGTACCAAAAAAGATACCAGAAATCATTAGATTCTAAAAGTTCATCTATTTCCTCTTTCTGCTACATGTCGCTCTTAAAGGAATCACCATTTGCTTCCCTTAAAAAATATCCTTCCCACCTTGTTCATTACCTGTTCGGGAGCTTGGAATGTTTTGCTTTACAACTGTGACGAGACCAACTGCTAAAATACCTTTGTGGGCAATTTTTCGATAATCTCTAACGTGAACATTTTCACAGACATTCACCGCGCAATTTACGGTTATTAATAAGCTAAATATTAAAATGCAAACAGATTGTATGAGCGATATGTTTAGCTTATGAACTCTAAAAGGGGCGGTCATTTATAGGATTAGCTTAATAGACATATATATAGGCGGAGATTTAAGTACATCCAAAACGTCTGATGTGGAAAAGTCTTATTTTGAATGAATTTGCCCATAGATATTACTATATCAAATACAAAAAAGTCACCAAAGAAGACTATTAAACCATACAGAGTGTATAATTTATAACTATAAATCCGATTAGTCTGCGAGACGGATAATTTAGACTCCTGCAGTGGTGCAGTCTCCAACCCGCGGCGAGCACATGACAGAAATTTTGGTTTCGCTTCCCACGCATGTTAATATTATTCTTATATATTGTTTAATAAGTGAGTATGGATGAGCGTTTGAAAAACTAAGTCGACCTACGGTATTTAGTCGAGCTAAAGATTGTTATAGCTTCGTTTGCAACCATCCAACTATTAAATTTTAAGGTCGGGAGATATTTTATCGAAGAAGCTACACTCCAATTAAAAATAGATAAAAGTGATTACAGAAAATACTCAACTCTTTGAAACGAAGCATTTATCATGACGTTGTCTTTTGGTGGAGACATTTATTACCAACATACTACGGTACCGTACAGCAGCGGCTGTTACTACATAATAGCGAAATCCTTCTCCTATAGATTTTCTTTGCGACTCGCCCGCTTAACAAGTGCACATTTTGGCTGTTTGTGAATATTTTCGTCAGTCAGTCATTTTGCAGTTTAGTATTTCTTTATTAAGTGTTGTCGTGCGGCGGTAACTCTTCTGCAGCTAATTTCTATTTTGACTTTGTACAAAGTTAGAAGCTGTGTATCAGCACAAAAGAATGAAAACAGGGCGCGATGTTGTTAGGGTTCTAAGGAAATATTGGGCCTTTATTGATAGTGACGCGAAGTTTCGTACGACAAAAAGATTCCTTCTGAGTGCCTATCCTTTTCAAGCTTCAGCGTCAGCATACAAAGGTTGCTTTCATTACTAAATGGCAGTTCGTAACACTGAATCAACTGTACCAAGTATTGTACATACTCATGTTCTGCAACGGTAATATTATTATTCATAATAATAGGTATGACAAAATGACACCGACGCTACTCAGTTGTCGGAGAACCCTCTTATCTTGTATCTCACATCTATCTGCGTAAGTGTATGTCCTGTTAAGTAATGCATCTTCTACACATACCTGACTGGCTGTAGCCATTTTTGTTCGTCTGAAGGGCAAATTATACAGTGGGTTACTTCATCATTCATCGAATGCCTATTTCACCATGTTGTGGTTTTAAAAATTGTCTAAATTGTACCTTTTTGTACTAAATGAATGATTGCTTTTACTCTAGATTATTTGTAGATAATCTGTTAAAAACGGAAGTAATGTTAACATATAGGACAAATTTCCTACATATTTCACCTTGGATCTTTAGCAGATGCTGAAGTTCTAAATGCAAACTATATCTGCAAATGTGGCAAAAAGGCCTTAATTTTTTTACGAGTTTATAATAATACCACCATTAATGGCTGCCAAAATAAGGAGTATTAAGAAGGAAATTGGTCGATTTGACAGTTTGTGCATACATTTGTCAAGACAGTCTTCTAATTTCCATTTTTATACAGACAGTACTAAATTGCTAGAAATGCATATGCAACATATTTACCAAAGTTTTTTTAGTTATGTTAATATACATTCAAGTAAGTTGAAAGTTTTTGAAGGAAAGTAAGACCACATGTCTTTAGATTGGTTTGTCAATAGACGTGCTCTCGAAGTTTTTTGTATTACTCAGGTTAGGAGAAAAAATCAGATTCAGCGAAGAAAAATAAAATAAAAGAAATAATTAGCTGTACGTTAAGGATGCTAAAGATTATAGAGTCGGCTTCTGCTCATTTCTTAGCATATCTGTTTGTTTTTAACTTAATTATTTGTCATTTTACACTAAAGATACATTAGCGTGAGGGAATCAAATTTCATATTTTTTTTATCTGGATAGTGCTACAAACTCACCGAGGTTCAATATCAATTACATGAAAATATGCTGACAAAATAATCCAACTCAGTTTTCCGATTTGATATTAAGTTAACATCTTACCTGCAAAATCTTTTCTATATAAAGCATTTAGCACTTTCTCGTGCGCCTAGATAACAGGTGAGGAGAGAAATGCTTTATCAATAGACGGAATTCGAAGTTTCAAAATATAGGTAAACCGTTTTTATAAACATATATACCTATATACTGACATCATCTGTATTAGCCACAGCGCTAACAAAAAACCTTGTTACTTCGCCTATATCGTGTGGACCTGTAAATATAATCCAAATTCGTATATGAAACTAGGTACATACAATAGTGAGGGGTAAGCAGCTCAGTAAACCATCAGTCCATCCTCGAAACTTATTCGTACAAAAAAGGTTAAGTTATTGTTATCTTGATCGTACTGCTTGTGATTGCGATGATGACGCGTCTGAATGTTGAGAACACAGAGGATTTTTGGAAAAAAAATAAGAACGTCGGCGCGAGGACTTCGGATGGCAATTTTCGCGTCCAGTTGCCTTTATCCAATACCAGAAACTGCTACACGTGACTTCTTTAGCGTTCTGGAATATGTAAGCTTATATGGTCATAATTTGTTAATGAAGTATTGCCTGCCAGAAATATATCTTACATGTATCGTTCGACGTAAAGTTACTTGATAAATTGGTGAAGGCGTATATGGCGGTCATCTAGGAGGCGTTGTAGACGGATCGGTTGTCAATCTAGACATCGGCTTGGAACCAAACTAATTAACTGACCGACGTTACAGGAAATACTACAGTTCAGCAGCTGCGAGCTCCTTTCGGTAAAATGCTGATTTTTGTATGTAAAGCAAATTGTCCTTGATGTCACCTAAAATGTCTGTTTTATCAAATGTGCACCAGGAAAATTAGTTTCATTATTTAAACAAGTGCTCAACGGACTGGATATGACAATGGTGATCATGACAACGACACTTTTTTCATGAAAAAAGTTTAGCTTCGTTCCTTTTCTATAGAGTGATAATTTACACACAAAGAAGAGTAAGCAGTTTGGATTTTATTAGAAAAGGGTCTATTGGATATTCTGCTAACGATAATGTTCATTATGATTTCAGTTGTCTTTACACTCGAGCATGGTGGTCAACTTTTTATATTTTTTGATGCTATAATGAGACCGAATCAGGTGACTATAAACCTCGCTAAGTTGAATCGTCATGATAAGAAGTTATATTTAGCGTTAATGAGATTTAAAAAGTCATTTGACTAAATGCTCGCAGTACCCAATTGATAATAAAAAAATGTACTCTGGTTTATCCTTCGGTATATTCATATCAAAAGCCTTCACTAACAGGGTCTTCAGTTAGAGATATCCCAAAAGTTAAGTATTCTTGGTTTTGTATGCCTCATTGAAGAGTTTCTTGTAGCAAAGATGTTAATTTCTTCCGTTAATGTAACCGGTTTTCATCTCACGCAATATTATGGAGTCAACCTTATTACTTAGATTGAATCCTTCATTACGTCGCATCTATCACTTCTAACAATTGCAAGGAACCTTGGTTTTTTCTTTTGAATTTCTTTATTACAATATGGCGTATGATTCACGTACAATAGTACAGCTTGCCTGACGTTAGTACTGTGAGTTTTTAACTTCTTTTTTTAACACTTATAAGTGTATCACGTTCAAAATATCTGAGCCCGAATCATTATTATTTCTTCTGATCCGTTTACGTTTGGTTATCTTTCTCGGTAAAGGTTCTTTTGAAACGTTAATACTTATGATGTTCACTAATATTATCGGAAAAGTAGAGGCTAAGGTATGATTTGTTATAAAATGGTCTTCATCCGTCGAAGTTTAGCCGTCATTTAACATTTTGATTCTGAAGTTTGAACATTAAATCAAGGAATACCACACCTTTGTTCTGACAGAGCTGTAGGGTGATATATATAAAATTCCGGGTTGTAGGAATGATAATAATGATATTATCATTCTTAAATATTTATCCTATTTTTAGCGGTCGTATTATGGTCGCTGCTATAAATATTCTATCGATTACAACAGCAGTTGTCGGTTGCAGCTTCCCGAATTGAAAAAATATTGGCTTATCTACTTGTGTATCTAGACTTGTATTGGTTTCAAAGCAAAGAAGCGAACGACGCGCTGCAGCGTAACCTGAATGTAATGAAGAATGAGAACAACGAGAATTCGAATATGTACACTGCATCTGAGTATATGTGCTCAATCTGTGTGAACTCGATAAATGTGGTGTCCTCGTTATGTTATAATAATAAAATGTAGCAATGATAATAATGAAGTATGATACCTATGATTAAGAACATCGTATTACGTAATTATAACTATACTCGGACGCTGTTGTTATATATAAAATATTATCATCGAAAGACTAGCCTGATGGAACTTAAAAATGAATAATCTGGATTGACTGAAATAGCAAATCGACAAACAAAAACTATTGAAGACTTGTCCAAGCTTTGTTAAACGTCTGAAAACGTTGATTTCTGCCGTGTTAGTATAATAAACGCTAATGAGGTACGCGTATCCCAAAATAATAAAGAAAAAATAAAAACCATTACTTCCAAAGTCTGATGGGAAGACATAATGTAACAGTAATTGCGACACCGTACTGTATTTCATTTAAATCACAGTTATAGAAACCAGATTGTGGAACTTGCTCACTTAGAGAATGTATATATTATAATTACCTAATAAAGAGGCAACCAAACAATATTCATAATATGACCGTGCATGTGTTCTTGTTGATTTTGTTACTAGTACCAATTGATAATTTTATCTATAATCTATTGGAACATAATTAGATACTTATAAATTGGGAAATCGATATTGTTTAGCATCTGAGTTTTATTTAGGTTCAATTTCGCTCAGTCGTAAGAAATAGTCAGCCACTTTTAGTGCTACTGCGGCCCATGGCAAGAAAATATAAATAGAAGACGCGCACCAAGTTCGTAGGTGTTGTACATGCGCTTGCATTATCAAAATTACTTGAGTTTTGAAAACTGCAAATAAACTACATTGTTTAGAAGGGATTCGAGGGGTTGAATTCCTGCACGTTCGTGGTATGTGCTAAAATTGTTAGTAGATATTGGGGTTTAATAATATTTATGTCCCAAAATCTTTGCAAGACATTGGGCTGTTTCATAAACATCAGCAAAACAAATTTTAAAAAATCATCAAAAAACTTTAACTATCTCATATTTCTTTACCATTGATTTTCTTAAGGTATTCATTAATAAATTTATAGAGAAGATAAGGTAGTAGTTTAGTTTACGAGACTGTTGGTGGACAGGACTTCAGGGCAGCTTATTGCAGGTTATCTTACGCGGTAAGCTTCCCATCGTCAACAAACACGAGATGACTAAGAAATGCCAAAGGGTGGTAATATAAAATGCGACATGATGAAATTTATGAATCGAAAAACGAGCGACATCACAGGGATTTCAAGTTTCTTCATGCGGTTTAGGGTTCTTCAGGGAGCTGTTTGTTATTGGATTAATTTCATGGAGGGCAAAATCTCCATCTACAGCTATCTTGTTGCTTACCTCCGAAGGCACTCATCACATAATTAAGTGGCTAGACACCTAAATCCCTCTTTGAATTTTGTTATGAATAGTGGTGCATTGGCTAAAAGATGTGCTAAATATTTGTGACATGTGTGTAGGTAGAGATTTGGAGTACATAGATGTATAAGGAAAGATCCGGTAACGAAAGTGTTAGTGTCAATAAATTACAAACCAGTGGAATTATTATTATATAATTAAATTAAAAAAAAAGATAACTAAAACCAACATCAGTTATTTCAAGCGACCAGAATTGGACGGCTGAAGGGCGTAACAACTAGCAATAAGTCCTCATTTCCGATATTACAAATCTTACTTGTCCAAGGCAATGTGGCGAAGAAATATGCGCTCCATAGATTTTCACTTGAGCAAAGGTTGCTACAATCTGCAGTCACTATTAGTCCCCCCTATTATTACTAGTATGTCTTGTATCTCGTTGTGTATGGCCTCCCTCTCTCTCTCTTTTTCCTCGTTATATATACCTTACGTTCATGAATCAAAAGTAAATAATGGATTCGCTAAGTGCACTGACTTAACGATGGTTTTTTTGATTCAGCACTACAATAGCCAATAAATACAAAAGCAAAACATTCATGTAAAACCAATGAAAATGATCTTTGACTATCATTAACATTAAATGCAAATGGAACTACAGACACTACTTTCTCTTGCCAAAACGATGTTTAGAAGGCGGCATCTTCTAGCATACCAACAACAACCCAGTACGAAGGGGTCCGTATATGGTAAGAGCTATCATTACAGACTGTAGACAGAACTGTATGACGTTTAACATATATTAAGCTACTAACAAAATTTCGAACAAAAGAAGCTACTTCTCTTTGTTTTTATCCAAAAGCAGCTCTTGCAATCGTATTTGAGGTTATTCTCTATGCACTGAACTTGCTTTTAATACGTTCATATTCACTACTTGGGTTCATCATGCTATTTTTCTGGCTGAATCTTCGTATTTATGGCATCCCATGGCTGCGTACCGTATTTAATTCCAAAAGTAGACTTAAATCTACTTTTATATATCTTCTTTATATATTATATATCTTCTTTATATATAAACGAACACTAGAATAGCATGAATGCCCACGACCTAATTCATTACCTTTGCGCATAATTTTACACGATGCGATCTTGAAGAAACTTTACATGTACTTCAATAATGGACTATTACACTATCGTTTCGATTTTTCTTTTTCGAAACATGATACTTTTTACAGACTGCAGTAAGTGGTTTAATAGACATAAACCAAAAAAAAAAATGTTATACTTTGTCTTTAATTAAATTATAGCTCTCAGGGTAAGGGGGTCTTAGAAGCATATCCGTATATTTACTTTTCCTGAGCTATAAAATTATTTTGAGCTTCAATACTTTAGTATATTTAAGTTGAGAAATGTCAGGATGATTTTCAGATGGTGATGAATACCACGAACACACAAGGAGCTGCCCATTGTCACATAGGTGGCGCTTGTTTCGAGCTAAACTCTGTGTGATGCATTCATTCATTTTAGCACCGATACTGTTGTCCGCCGATAGCGCGTGCTGTACGCTGCGCTCAGGATATGCTTGTTCTTTAGTGGCGTTTTGAGCAAGGCGGTAATCGCAAACATATTTAACAGTTCTTTTACGTCGACCGTTCGTTGTGCAGCAAATAAGGTGTGTTAAAAACACGATTCAACGAGCAAAGAACACATAATTTCTTTGTTCTTTTGTAATACATAAATATACCTTGATTACTTACTGTGCTTGTCTTCGTTAGTCGTTGATATGTTTTTACTTTCTTAAATACCAATTTTTTCTAGAACTGTGCACATGTTAGGTGCTTATATATTTATTTATAAGAAGTGGCGGCAATTTTCTATAGAGGATTAAAGTTGATATGGCGGTCAACATTTAAAAGCAATTCGTTGCTTCCGTCATATCGAACGGTTATTTCATCTGTAGAGTTATTTATTACCTTTTATTCAAATTTTATTGCCTGTATATATAAGGCATTATAATTTTATCTACATTTCTCAGTTATCAAAGGATTTCTTGTAAAAGAAATTCTTTCACGTCATTATGAAACAGAGGCAACGCCTCAGATATCATCAGTATTATATACCTACAGTGCGTTTTAAAATTAAAAGCCAATACTTAGTCTTTAGGTATTGATTAAACAATCTTTGTTTCATAGAAAAAAATTTTTCACAGTGAGACCTTAGAGCGTTGAAATTAGAAAAACGTTTGCCTCATATCCTTTTGAACATACATCGCTTTGTTTTAGATGGTCGAAACACACTGACACTATTTTTTGCCACTATTCGATAAATAGAACACCTCTGAACTCGGCAATACCGAACTTCGACGCAAATGTTTGATAGTGACAGAAAAGTAATTTCTGTTTTAGGAAAACTAATTTAGTGACAGAAAAGTAATTTCTGTTTTAGGAAAACTAATTTCGTGCTGCGACTTGGTGCTTGAAATAAAGCTCACATACATCCTTTCGGTGGGAATCAACTGATTCTACAGACTATTTCGGACATCTCGAAGCTGTTTATGAGCTTACTTTTGCACTTGTTTGAGGAGACTGTGACGTATATATATGATCATTTGAAATATTTTTGTTATTGTTTTCTTTTAATGTTGCAGTAGATTCATATGGTCGTGGTGACCATGTGTTCGTGAAAAACCACAATCCTTGGCGTGTCGCCCTTAAATGCACTAAAAGAACGACTGAGCTTTGACAGCGGTGGAGTGGGCCATCCAGGGATGTTTTATAGGATTTGTCGACTCTTAGTTCTAGTAGTCAGTGCTCTACTTTTCATATTTATTTTTCAAGCAGTTAGGAATTTGGTAGCTTTGTTGCTTTTGGTTAATAAGTTAGTGGAGCTACCACTAAGTTATCGTCTTCCACACTGACACTCAGTAAAAGTGGTATAAATGTTATTACTGCGAATAGAGTCTGAGGTCTAAAAGTTTGTTCTGGGCTAACGTTCAGATAAAAAAAGCCGCCTTCAGGCAATGAATATTGGAATTATTTCTCCAACGAAAGATTTTTTAATTAAGAGAACAGCTCTAGTTAAAATACTACCTTCACAGTGAGTTAGCACCTGTTTTATCGCGTAACACGTTGCAAATTCCGCACAAGGCATTACCCTCAGAGTGACAAAAACTTGTGTGAAAAACATTTGTGCTGATAGTCTGTAGGCAAGAAAAAACACTTTACGTATACTTCGCGGAAAGTACACAAGTGATATGGTTGGGTACCCCGTATACTTTAATCAAGAATAAAATAATAGTTTATCCCAAAAATTTTGCCGAGATGTTATAGGTCTATCTTTGAAAAACTAATTGGCGCCATAATAATACGATGCTGGTATTAGTTATGCCTAAACAACTTACATATGAATTGTTAGTTCATCTTTAAATGCATTTTACATTAGTGATACAACCAATTCAAGGACAAGCAAAAGTATGTCAAATTCGAAATAGAATGTTAAACTATTATTAGGGCACTTCATGTAATAATTAAAAAGGAATTACAAAATGCTTTAACTCTATCTTCTAGGTATTTACAGTTATTCATCAAAATGCCAGCTCTACTGGCAGAACACCCTGGCTGCACACGTGCACAAATTGAAGATTTTCCATCTCAACCGTCCCTCAAGAACATACAAAATTCTTTCTACGGCCGTTTGCCAAAACAACAACATGCCTCTCTACAAGAAATCGCAAAGGCGCACATCGAAAGCTTTAATTGGGCAATGGAAGAAGGTTTACAGCTTGCACTAAATGAAATCAATCCTTTGGAGTTTATGATAGGTTTGTTCTGTTCCTTCTACCCGCTCTGTATGCTTTCCCGACCGGTAATAGTTAGTCAGAATAATAATTCATTAGTTAGAGTAATATGTAATTAAAAGTGTTGCTAGAACATATTATTTTGTCCAGTTTTTAACAGTGATCTTCGGCGTTCTTTAGGAAAATCTCGGGTAAAGATGATTATATCGAAAGCTGAAGTTTACCATCCCGCTGTTAGTCGTCTCGCTGGCAACTGTCGGATACTACAGGTAACACTTAAAACTCGTGACTTATTCATCACTGATACTGAAGATGTATTTTTTTCTAAATTCTACTTGCAGTAGCCAACATCGTGTGCTCAAAAGATTTTGTAAGCTTTGACTGCACCGATCTCGGTGCATATTGCTTATGTGTACGAAAAATTAGATCCTTACTTCAATCGGTTGCAAAGTTATGTTTGGTAAGCTCCCGGTGAATTCGTGGAGACTAAACATTTGTGTGATCCAAGCCTTCAAGATTTTCCAATAGATTTTACAATAGCCGATCCATACTCCCTATCTGAGTTCAACCGCCTCAAATAAAATTTAACTGTTACTGATATCACTTAGTAAGCGTGGTTTTCAGATACTCGACTTTGATTCTAAAAATATCAAACAGGAGAAAGAGCCATCAGAATTTTAACTATAGTCATTCCTCTCGTTACTCAGAACAAACTTCCAATGTCCGTTGTTGTGTTGTGTAGAATTTGCTAATTCCTTTTCCGTGTGCCACTTTCTTGAGCGTCTTTTAATGACTCGAATTCTACACATAAACATTATTGTATAATTATTTATGAAATAAACCCGTACTGTTATAAAATAACAGTACGGATTAACCATTAAGTTCACTAAGTGTGAATGCACGTTAAATTCCTATAAGTCCGCCCAAATGTTGAACATATAAATGAGCTCTGTTACACACTAAATTAGCTCCCGAGAGTTCAATATGTTAGTCTATTGAGCATTTACGAAGCTACGGCCTCTAAACTATATTTTATTTAAAATATCCAGTGGATCACATTTTACCTTTTTCTTGTATGTATAACCTTTTGCCGCCATGAAGGTAGGATCCCATTCTTAATATTAATACAGGTACAAGTTGTTTAATTAAACGCCTGTTTAGTTAGGCGTGAACGTCTATAATATATTTAAAAACTGTTTTTAACACCACCGACCCGGGCGCCCTCTTTTTTCGACGATTTCCAAACTAAAAACGCGTACTCAAATTCCTGACTTACCATATTTATGTGCCATATATTATTAGGCTGACATATAATAATGATGACTTTTCTTTCTACATTCTCTGTTTCCTTTTCCATCTCACTGCTGGCTTACTTTATACTCCGATTAAAATACTGTACAATGCGTAGAATTGTATCTCGAGTTCACACTTCAGTGATGGATGTTAGCTGGGAAATGAATGCATTTTTACGCCTATCCTATTTTGCTCTTCCTGATGCTAAAAAGGGGCTGCGATATTTGTCCCATTAGAACCATATGTGTATCTTGGTTAGAAAATAGAAGCCTGTGTGCTCCAACTGAGACTAAATAGAACGTTCAAGAAAACAGAGGTTTTCGTCGGCCCAGTATTGCACGACATGAGTCACCGTATAGCCTCGACAGACATGCTTCCATAAAGATCCATTCCGTAAAAATCGTTACAGTTGAAAAGAAGTTATCTCTTCGCCGGCATATAGTAGTGAAATTATTGGATATCTTCGGAAAGTACCCCTAAGCTTAAAGTTAAACTAGATCTCTATCTGAAGAAGACCACACTTAGGGTTTCCTAGGGCCAGAAGAGTTTTATTCACTAAGAAACACGTGAAAAAGTAAGACGGTAGACAAGAACTGTCTATACTCCAGTGGTTTCGGGCGAACCAAATTATCCAGTGGTGTTGACTGTTTGATATTTCGGTTCGGTGATGCATGACTCGGTAAGCAATACAAAGTTATTCTTTCCAACCACAATGCCACGCTACACATGACTTGAATAAAGGTTCTTTGCATTTACCTTATCTTCCAATGCCCGCGCCGATGGGTTACCACCTTTTCTGATCGCTATGAAATTCCTGATAATTAATTTGACAGTGAAGAGACTTGCAAAAACTGACTGGACGAGCTCTTTAACAGCAGACCTAAAAATGTATATCACGAAGGAATAACTAAATTGGTTGATAAATGGGATCAGGTCATGGAGTGACGGCAAATACATAATTAATCAATTTTTATTATTAATTATTAATTAAAGCAAATATCTTTATACTTGAAAGTAAAATACTCAACTATATACGCGCTATCTTAATCGATAACCTTCTGCCATTTTCTGGAAACACCGCAATTCCATTACTGTAGAACTTGAGCGGTGCTTAGACGAAAAATTTTGACAAGTGATTCTTGTATCCCCTCATGAAATTAATTAACACCATCAGAGAAGTTCGGCAGAGACCGCAACAGATGATAACCTGTTGGTGCAAGATCCAAGCTATACAGCAATTCATCTAAATTGTCCATACGAGTACCCTTAATGTTTACTAAGTAGCTAAATATACACCTGGTCTGGCATTATCGTGTTAAAAAAGACTACGCCTTTCCTGTTCACTAGTTTCGACTTATTATAATATTGTTAAATGTTGACAATAGATATTCGAATCAACTGTTTTGCCGGGGAGCAATAACTTGTATTATAATATAATGATTATTTTCCAGTTCTAATAATCATACAGCATCATCTTCTTTGGTACCAGATTGAGCTTTACCACAAATGTGATGTTTAGAAATAACTCGATTTCACTGCGTTTCTGTAGAGCTTTGCGGACAGAAATACGATTGAGTATATTATTTCGCGTCAAACTGCGTGGAACCCAAACATCGAGCTTTTTTTTGTAGTCGGATTACTTCATATGGCTGAAAATTGTCTGGTGGTGGCTGTTTAGTTCTCTGGCTATATCATGGCTACATCAGTTAATGATATCAAGTGTTGGCCGTGTGCAACAATAACTCGCCGTCCACTTCGAAAAGCACCCTTCACATTGAAATTTCTATAACGAAAGCGACAGAACCATTTTTGGATCGTTCCCGATCTGAGGCGTCCTTCCGATAACGCCTCTCGACCATAAGCAAGATGATTTTTATGGGACTGTGCAGCATTTGTGCTTTTATAATAATTGTAAAATATAGAGAGTTTTTGCAAAAGTTTCACTTATCTTTAAGGAAATGACATAAACGTTGACTTGACCCATACTACGCGAAATATGTGAATCCACGTAGAAAAAACGGTCTTACTTAATTCAACTTTCAATAAGTTTTTCGAAAATCGCATTTAGAGAGACATATTATTGTTGTTGTTGTTCAAACGACCTATCGTACTGTAAGAAGGATATTGAGATTGCAATTAATATGGAATTGTTATTATTGCAATTTCAATTACTCTGACACTCCGGGTGATCGTTCTGGGAAGGTCTACCCAAAAGAATGTCGTATACGCCGCATATCATACCGGGGGAAGTTAGATTTGACACTCGACTGGTGGATGAATGGAATCAAGCAAGAGCCGATCAAAAGAACTTGTGGCGAGATACCGATCATGGTGAAATCACTGAAGTGCAATCTTTACGGTCTAGATCCAGAGCAGTTAGTCGAACGCGGAGAAGAGATGGAAGAATTCGGTGGCTATTTCGTCGTCAATGGAAATGAAAAGGTAAGGCACATGAAACTGCTAGAACTCTTATGTTATTTTTACCTTTATACTTATAGGCAAGCAGGATATAACAGGCCAACTGAACCCAAGAATATTATATGAGAGCTAAAAAAGTAGTATCATGTATTCTTTACAAATTAGAACCATCCTGAAAAGTACCAGTTACTAGATTACAGTACTGCGAACTATATAATCAGGTAGGTAACTTCATATAGGTAACTATGCTCCTCAAACGTTTGGTGATTCTGATTTGTAAGAAGTCGTATAAAAATATCTGTGCTTGATTATGTATGTTTTAATGGAAGTCAGTCGGCTGGCTAGAGATAAAATATCCTATATGTAACGGAAACCATAGGAGGGAACACGTATAGCTACAGTCAGGTAGCATTGACTTCACCCAATATTTTAGTTAGGCCCTTAAGAAATTCTAGTCATAGCACAAGAGGAATAAGGCTTAGCTAAAACTGTTGATATGCATCAATAGAAGTGTACGCTGCGTAATATTGTGACGATCTTTGTATGTTCATTAGGTTATCCGGCTGCTCATTATGCAACGACGAAACTACCCTATAGCGATGGCAAGAAACGGCTGGAAAAATCGTGGTTCAATGTTTTCAGAGTTTGGGGTATCGTTACGTAGTTGCCGCCGAGATCAAAGTGCCCAAAATATGGTTCTCCATTATCTTACCAACGGGACAGTGCAGGTAATATCTTATACTAGCCTGAACGTTATCTTGCTTGGTGTAATTCATGAAGCCGCATATCCATGTGCATTAGAGAACTGCATTTATTTCCGTTGTCCTATAATCATAAAAAATTATCATAATCACATAAAAATTATCACAAAAATGATAATTCATTTTGAAAATAAAATGTGTGAATATGTAATTAATGATATTTGCTATCAAAAGTCATGGCTTTTTCTTTTTTACTGAACATTATTGTCTACCTGTTGAGTGACCCATTTTATTTTAAATTTATTTGAAGTAAGGGGGCTGTGTATCATTTCATGTATAATTTCATTGGTTTGATTAAATTTCTTAAATTTAGTCTTTACCTTTTGATCGCTTATAACGTACGACTTTGTCATGAGGATTTTGTCTCACATTTTGACATAAACATCATAATTACCATTTTCTTCTGAAAAAGAACAGATTTATAGTAGGAATTTGAAAACACTCGACAAGTATAAGCTGCAGTTATTTTCACTCCATGCTAAACGTTCACTCGCTGAAGGTGCAGTAGTAATGTGCCACTGTACCTTAAAACTCAATACCGCGTATTGCTGAAGATAAAAGGTACCAGCGTGGACTGCTTATATGCACATAATTAAATCATCTTTCATAAGCACAATGGATTTCAAGAAAGCGTAAATCTAGTTTTAGTTCAAATTTAGCGTGTCAGAAAACCCTTAGGTAAAAAGATTCGCTTTTCAAGATATAACATCTAAGGAACATTCGACACTGCATGATACACATGTACTCAGTTGTATAATGAGACACTAAAACTTTTGCAGCCTTAACTTATAATCATGCTTACTTGGGATACTCAAGGATATCGAATATAGTAAATAATGACTCTATCAGGTGAATCTCACTCTGAGCGTTTGATTTGTTGTGAGTTGTAACCGAATGGAAATATATCGATCAAAATCGCATACAGCAAAACTATGAAAGCAAGTCGTTTACAAAATCGAATCGCCTATAGTAGTCACAAATTTAGTAAAAACAAAGAAATTTTCTATTTACATATTCCCAAACATATCCACTTTGCTATACTAATATATTTCATTATGTTATCCCTTCAATCATGGCAAACAATTAAGCAATGCGCTCAATAATGTAAAAAACCATTATTACTACCATAATAGTTATTTTAACGTTAAACTAATTAAATTATTTTTTCTTTTTAGGTCATGATCACGTATCGAAAAGAAGTGTACTTTGTGCCAGCTGTTTTGCTATTGAAGGCGCTCGTTAACAAAAGCGACTACGATATTTATCGGACCCTTACTCAAGGGTGTGAGAACGACTCATTCTATAAAGGTTTATATCCAAGGAAGTCACTAGGGGGAATTCAAATCTGAGTCTTAAAGTAAGAACACCCTCGTATGCTCGACATAAAGTGCCCCTTTTCTCCTGACAGGTCTTCAAGGAGACGTTAAATTATTTAGATTTTTTTAAACATTCTCCTATGTGTCTTACTTAACGGTTGGAAAGTTCCCACTGTCGAGAAAGTAGATTAAAAAAACTGAACGATTGTTTGAAAACTTGTTTAATGTAAAATATATATAGAGAACTACAAATAAGACATAGTATGATCCCATATGTGTATTGAATGGCTCAAAAATTCATCAAATACAGCTCAAAAATGCACGTCAGTTATCCCGGGATGTTGATGAAGAAAATAGCGGTAGTTTCAAAGAAAAGATTATCTAGCGGCAATTTTTTAGCGAAACTCCTTCTATTGCACGGCTACCTAAGCTGATTTACTTACAATAACTAGGAATGAATAAATGACGAATTTAAGAAAACAATTCTTTGAAAATCGCTTGTCAGCGGTTTAGTCCCTGAATCAAAAAGGATATCCCTAAAGGATTTACCCGTCGGCTTCTCATAAAATTGAATGTATCTATCATTACATAATTGCAGCTTATAAACGAGTAAATTTCGTCTTAGTTTAATCTGAACATCCTGCAAGTCTTTTCAATTAACAAAATCGTATGTAAAAACCAAGTAATCATTACACAGTTAAGGTTTTATTAAATAAACATCCTTTTTATTCAGATCATAAATATTGCTTGATTAATGAATAATGTTCGACGTGCAAGAAGCTTAGCTTTGTTCTTTGTTAACATATATTTTCTTGTGTATGTAGGTTGCATCACAAACATGCTCCGGTTGGTCCAAAACGAAAACATCTTAACCCATCAAGATGCAAAGGAATTTATTGGAGATAAATTTCGTATTAAAATGTATGTGGCTGAGTGGAGCTCGAACGCAGATGTTTGTGACCAGCTCCTTAAACGATGTGTGTGTGTTCATCTCGACAGTAACGAAGATAAGTTCAACCTTATGTGTTTTATGGTACGAAAACTCTTCGCCGTTGCAAAAAACAAATGTGCTCTGGAGAGTGCAGATTCGACAATGAATCAGGAATTACTTTTGCCAGGGCACATCTATCTTCATATTCTCAAGGAGAAGATAGAAGGTTTGCTTGTCGGTGTGAAGATCAGCATTGACAAAAAGATCCAGCGATGTGGCGGCGACCCTAACTTACTTACAATTAACTACTCATTCATGTCTAACGCGCTAGGACAGGCTGGCGATGTAACAAATGCCATGAACTACTTTCTATCGACAGGAAACCTAGTCTCAAAGACCGGTCTTAGCCTTCAACAGACCTCAGGCTTTACGATACTAGCGGAGAAGCTTAACTTTTGGCGTTATCTCGCACATTTCCGCTGTGTACACAGAGGTTCGTTCTTCATGGAAATGCGAACAACAACAGTACGTAAGTTACTTCCTGAAGCATGGGGCTTCATCTGTCCAGTGCATACGCCTGACGGAGGTCCGTGTGGTTTGCTGCTCCACCTGAGTGCTATGTGTGAAGTTGTTGTAAAAGTCTTCTCGACTGCTACGATTGAAACAACGCTACGGTCACTTGGTATGATCGCAATCGGGTCTCTTACAGAACCTGATTATGAAAGCTCGTATCAAGTTCAGTTGGATGGAAGATGCATAGGTTGGGTATCTGAAGATGACATCGAACAATTGCATGTAACACTACGATACCTAAAGGCCACCGGTGAAGCAAACATTCCGCCCACGTTAGAGATTTGTGTCATCCCGAGAACGGAACAAAATTCATTATTTCCTGGTCTGTATATCTTTTCTACGCCTGCACGGATGATGCGTCCAGTGTTGAATAACCGTACTCAGACAGTTGAGTGGATTGGCACACTCGAGCAGGTACATATGGATATCTGTGTCATTGCGGAAGAGGCACATGAGTTGACGACGCATCAAGAGCTACGCGAGACGGCCATGCTGTCAGTGCTCGCCAACCTAATTCCTTGGCCTGATTTCAACCAATCACCGCGTAACATGTACCAGTGTCAGATGGGAAAGCAAACAATGGGATCACCCATGCATACCTTCCGCTATCGTGCGGACAACAAGCTGTATCGACTGATGTACCCTCAGAGCGCGCTTGTGAGGCCAACATCTTATGATCATTTCCAAATGGACGAGTACCCATCGGGAACGAATGCTGTTGTTGCCGTAATATCGTACACGGGATACGATATGGAAGATGCTATAGTTTTGAACAAAATGAGTGTTGAGCGCGGATTTAAGGCCGGTGTAGTATATAAAACAGAAACGATCAATTTGCGTAAGTTATCTGGGGATGTGGGAGTCCAGACATCGTGCGTTTTTGGTCGAAAGGCAGGAGATTCTGAGTTACAGAAATTTGTAGATGTTGATGGCCTGCCATACATCGGCAGCAGGGTAGTACAGGGAGATCCGGTATGTGCATATATAAATTTGACCACGGGACAACTGAAGACTGTAAGGTATTACTCGACCGAGCCAGCAATCGTGCATGAAGTGAAAATTCTTGGTAATGATTCCGGTACAGACACCCTCCAACAAATCCAGTTGACGTATCTTATTGATCGAACGCCAATGATCGGAGATAAGTTTGCTTCACGAGCAGGCCAAAAAGGTATCTGTTCGGCCCTCTGGCCTACAGAGAGCATGCCATTCACAGATAGTGGTATGGTTCCAGATATAATCTTTAATCCGCACGGATTTCCATCTCGAATGACTATCGGTAAGTGTTTCTTCTCTAGTTCTTTTGATAATATGCCTACATATGTGATACCTTGTTAGGTGTAAGATACTTGTCAATAAGTAACTTTGAAGAACGGTGTAGGAAGTTAAGTTTTTGATTGTAAGCTGTGTCGGTTATACTGTTTTTCTAAAATACTACGGTTAAGAAGAGGAATTTCTAAGAGCGTATCGTGACCTGTTTTACTGTTATTCTTCTGGATCTTTTCTCACAGGTGATAGTAACTCTTTTACAAATATTTTCGGATGAGGAAACGTTTTTACTGCTGTCTTGTAACACTGTCTATAACTAACGAACTACCATATTTCGTCATTGTTTATATTTGAGGTATGGTTGTTGAATCGATGGCTGGTAAATCCGCTGCACTACATGGCTACGTTCATGATGCTTCTCCATTCAAGTTCTCAGAGGAATATCCCAGCTCAGCGTATTTTGGGGAACTTCTGCAACGGGCAGGCTATAATTATTATGGCACCGAAAGGATGTACTCCGGTAAGAACTACATAGAGGGTTAATATATTCTACAAGATGGCACATTTTGCTAGAAATCACAGGCGTGAGTACGTTGATTCCTGTGGAATTTTTCGCAATATATTCCTGAATATATATCTACATTTGACTACACATGGTACTGCCTATTATTCGAGTTTTAAAGATTACGGCTGTCGTTAAAAGGTCATAAATTCATCCTTTTTGTGAAAACCTCGAGTTAATAATCGTCTAATTTGCTTTAAGGTGTTGATGGTCGCGAAATGGAGGCAGACATATTCTTTGGAGTGATTTACTATCAACGGCTACGTCATATGGTTGCTGACAAATACCAGGTACGAACAACGGGTCCAGTCGACTCGTTAACGCGACAGCCCGTTAAAGGACGCAAGCGAGGTGGTGGGATCCGTTTTGGTGAAATGGAAAGGGATTCATTGTTAGCGCACGGCACAGCTTTTTTGTTGCACGATCGGCTTTTCAACTGTTCTGATAAAACTCTGTGTCAGGTAAGACTTAACTAGTGCATGTTTGTTTTCTTCGATTATCAATTAAACGGTAGTGAAATATTGTATTGCATTAGACATTCTTAGCATGAACAAATGAAGCTCAGTTTGCTTTGCTCTCAGTCTGGTTGTCTCTTTGCCAGGTATGTGCGACATGTGGAAGCATTATATCCCCATTGTATGCTAAACCAGAGAACTCGGTGGTGCGTGTATGGACCTGCTCCGATTGCAAAAGCACAAAAAACATTGTCGTCATCCCCATACCTTACGTATTCAGGTCAGTAGTTAGGTTAGGCAAAACTTGTTTGAAAAGTATTTAAAAGAAGAGCTCACCTATTGAATGGAACTCTGTATTGTGTTTTAGCCATCGCACAAAGAGTCCCACACACAACCCAGGAGGTTTAGACTCGGTATATTAGATTTATTTACATATATAATATAGATAATATAGTGTATTTACAAACATATTCAGACAGATGTGTCACTGAGGGATTAGTATGCCTTATATAAAATTAGTAGAACAGTTGCGCTCGGCATTGAACCCAGCTTACCAAAGGATTAGGCGATCATCGTTCTCAACTGCTTAATTTAGCTACGAAATTGCTTGTCTAGGCAAATGTACAACCATATTGTCCAATAAAAGCTTTAGACACTTTGTAATTAAAAAAAAAAACAGACGTATATGCGAAAATCTGTACTAATTACATGTTCTACCCAAACTCCTATAGTGTTCTCCTGTGTAGAAGCCTCATATTCAAAAACAAAATAATATATTAAGTATACAAAGTGTTAATGATGCTCCTCTCTAAGTGCTAGTACTATACCTTTGCTTTCTATCGCCTAACTCCTAGAATGTCAAAGTATTCGACTCCAGCGGCTACTATAGTAGGCCAATCTTACCAACAAATTGTTCGTATTCAGACTACACAACTTTAAGAATACATAATCTATTGCTTACAAGTTTATAACGATGACTGTATTGTTTAACAGCATTTATGCATATCATATGAGCAGGTGGATCCATGTGCATATTCAAGTTTATAGTTTGATACATAGCTGTACATGATTTTGTTCCTTTCTAGCTATCATAAACTGTTCTAAACGATAATGTATACACCCTCCTTTGTGTGCATGAAGGGCTTATTAATTCATTGTTTCAGTAATCAAAAAAATTTAACATTTTTACAGTTATAGAAGCTGTCCGTCGATTAATGAAATCAATTTGTAGGATTGTTTATTATTAGAGACAAGTTATAATAATCTTAATAATAATAATATTATGTCTTGGCCTTTATGGCAGAAGTTTTCTATTCAGAGAGAGCTTTATACAACATTTCTTGACTCTCGAGCAAAAAATAGGTATCGGAGATGCAATGATTTTCGCTCAGTGTCATACCATAGTTTCGAATGAGTTTTTGTGAGTAATAGATTTTACATTTTTTCCAAGCATTGCATCTTAGAAATAAGGCAAAAATCGTGCAAATGTTTTAGTTACAGTATTATGTATATACGTAAAAAAATAGATTGAAACATTAGTTATTTATGGGCTCATGAACTAATTCGAGGATCACTGATATTACTGCTAAACTATGGGGCCTAGGTCTGAACCATATCTTTATCTTTTTTGAACGACCCTTTTTGATGAAAATAGGGCTAGGGCACCAGTCTTTTTATGAACAAAATTTGTACATTTAAATTCTGTCAAATATTGTGTCTAAACAATTAAGCTATTTGCAAATGTCGTTTTTAAATATATAGTTGTTTCACAGAATATGTGGAAAACATCCTCGGCTTTTGTCCTAAGAAGGTTCCAACAGCTAAGCAGAGTACTAACGAAAATTGGGACTGCTAATACGACAAACATTTTTTCGATTCTACGATTGTTAATTATAAAAGAAAGTTAATATAAACTTACTGCTAATATCGATTTGTTTTCCAAAAGTATCAACCACTATGTTTCGCAAATCACATTTTTAATTTTTAAGGAAAGTAAGACGATTTAACACTCTGGATGAGTTAAGCAAGGATCCTAAATGTTTCTAAATTAGTAGAGAAATTAAAAATTCAAAAATGTTATAAAAAGTTAAAAAATGCGGAATCTGAACGTTTTCCCGCAACCAGTTGCTGAAGACAGCTTGTGTATTGCAAATTTGTGTAATAAGCAATCATTTCACCTTTTATAGTAGATATTTTCAGAGATAAAATTAACAACATTGTGTACTTTGTACTCTTCCTTCAATTTACTTGGAATGACCAACAGGAGGTTCTAGGATTGAAGCATTTTTTCCTTACCAATGCAGAGTAGGATTTTTCTTCTGGTAATAATTTATATATCTGAGATATATATATTGTAACTGATTAATTATTTGTTATTTAAACATTTTGTCAACATGGTATTTACGATGATGTTTATTGACATCCAATCTAGCAATTTTATTTTCATAGTATATTTTTTTACTAGTGCACATTAAAACTAGGTGTGTTCCTCCAATAATGCTATTGTACCACCTTTTATATTGAACGAGCTTCCATTGCAATAGCCTTGATTTCATAGTTTCTATTATATCTTTTTCATTTCAGTCCCAAAACCAAGAGCCTTCCCAGGTCTGTCTTCTCCCTTTTTCCCTTCCAATATTTTATAATTAATCACAGGACGTAGGTGTAAGATGGTAGTGTAGCAAATGTGCCCCTATTCAGTAAAATACGATGTTTGCGTAATCTTAGCTTGCTTAATTTATTAACCAATACGTCTTTTTTCAGGTATCTTGCTGCTGAAATGGTTTCGATAAACATGAAGATTAAAATGGATGTGAAATCGCTTGAGCAATATAGGATGAAAGAATATTAAATTATCTGTATATTTCGTACATTAGTGTTTAAATAATATTATTATGTGCAAAAAGCACCGTTTTGACGTGATCGAAATAATACCCGCGTCACAAACATCACAAGGGTTACCGCAGCCCTCAACTGGTTAACTGTTACGTTACTGTTCAATAATGCTCGTACGTTTATTGTAGTATCATGTCGTCTACGCTGGCAGATGTACCAACACGATGAAAACCTCACAAAAACAATTGTCAAAACTAATAAGCCTATGAGTGCATCGTATAATTTTACATTAGTAGACTTGGTAAAAACCACAAACCAATATCTGCTACTATGGTACTTCACCAAGTGCGTATTCTCTACTGTAAAAAAAATTCGCTATTAATTTACTATCTTCACTAATATTAATATTGTTGTTATTACTTATTAATTCTGTGTGATATATATATATATAATTGGGATTTGCGGTTCACAGAATTAATAAGTAATATATATATATATATATATATATGTAATAAAATTACGCTTGAGTTGTATTAATAAAAAAATTAGTCAAGAAAAATTGAAAAGTTTTTTCATGATTTATTACTAAAAATCTACCAATACAAAAATTTGTATTTCGACTAATTTTGCACATATGCTAGGATTGCTATTTCTGATGTCATATTTATTCAAGCACCTTTGCTTATATTGAATAAACATGACAGATGCGGCTTTAATTTGGCACATAGATCACTAACCTCCTTAATCCGAAAGTAACTTCTGAATAGTAATTATACCTCAAACGATATTTACGAATGAGAAGTCATAGAGTATCGCTCAAAGGCGCTACAAACAAAAAATTTCAGCGGAATTGAACCTTGGATGTAGAAAAGACTAAGAAAGACTGAAAAGTTAAAAAAATTACAGAGTTCCAAAAGGGCCAACCGTTGGGGCTTACCTAAACAACCGAATTGGCATTTCTTATGCTCCTTTTTAACGAAGCTACTTTTTTTTTTTATCAAAAAATCTGGCTTTTAAAGACTAGTGTATCAAACTGTGTTTTAAGCCATTTTGGTTAATTTTCGAGCTCAGTAGATCTAAATCTTGTCAAAGATCGTTTGATTTACTTCATACAATTTCTCCTCGAAAGAAAAACTTTTAAGCCTATAAGGGGCTTCTTCAGTGCGGAAAGATTGTTCTAGAACTGGCTCTTGTCTGGTACCGGATGTAAAGAATTAGCGTATAGCTGTCACGACAAACTATCCACCAACACTTTGTGTATGTGTATTTATATATATATATATATGTGAAATTGCAGCAATATAGGCCACTCCGCTTTTTCTACCAAAAGAGCACTGATAAAAAAATTAGATAGTACCAAGCTTTGCGAATTTTTTAGATGCATATGGATTAGATTTAGTACAGTTCGAGTTACTGGATTTTTTCGTTCACCAAATTTCAGAAGCTGAAGCTATCTAGTAGAGCCTTTTTGGTATTTTATCGAGCTTTTGTTGTAAGATATAGAAGCAAAGTAGCAGCCTCTTTTTTATACCATAATTGTGCCTATTTTTTCGTTTTCAAAAATAAACTAGAAGTAAATTTCACTTTCCAAAAATCATGTTGTATAGTATCACATATAACCGTGAAACTATACGGGCCAAGGTGAGGAAGTTACATGGACTATTGCATTTGAACATAGATAAAACCGGATGCCAACAAGGTCTTTTTGAATGGAATATGTACATAAAATACATTATACTGAAATCTAATTATCCGTTAACTATGCAGTCGGTTTTCGATAAACTTTACATAAAGTTTCACGGAAACCGATGGTTTATTTATTTCCTCCTTCCCTTTTAGTCTATAGAAGCAATAGCCAATGTTGTGTGCAGTTGATCCTTTTTGATTAGATTGTTTAAGCGTAAAACGTGCAATAAGTTAAAATTCACCTGCTAAAAAGGTCTTTGTAGATTTCCCATTGTGAGTGTCACAACTATTCTATATAATACAAAAATGCGAATACAAAAATGCGGGATAAGTGACATTTTGTATGCTCAGATTGGATATTGCAGGATACATTAGCCTCCAGGAGATGCTAAACTAAAATAACAATATACTACTCTTAATATTTTTATTACTCGTACGTCTTATTTGCACAGACCTTACACGCAGTTTTTTAAATGAAGGGTGCGGGAGAGGGCAGCTGTTGGGATTGTTTATTATTTTCTGTCTGCTATATGCGCTAGGGTAAAACAAGGCCCTAAACAAGGTCGCCATCTTTGAATCGCCCGTTGTTTACTCAGTGTCCTTTCGTTATTGAGAACTGGTCGTCTTTGCTCGGATATTCTCCGGTTATCTCGGATTGCCAGAATATAGAACAAAAATGTTGAAGACGTTCGCTCGTTTCGGGGTCCAAGCAGTTTTTAATGGCGTTTTGAAACGGCAACCTGTCGTAGGTGAGTGCAAACTTTTATACTCGAGTTACTGGGTTGATTCGAATCATACCAACAGTAAATCGACCCATAAAAATTGTTTGTGTTTATCGTTTACAGAAAGCATCTATACTTACGTATAATCTACATTTCAGTTACCATGCGTATCATTATAGTGTCCATCTCAAACGGCAATAATAAACAATCATGCTATATAGTAAACGTACGATACTTCTTCGTAAGAAAGTGTACGATGCTTCTTGAGAAACATAGGAACGATACGGTGTTTTTTGGGGGTACACTAAGAAAAAGTATTTTATCTGACTCGGCCGAACATGGATCATTAAAGTGGGCCCTATCATAAACGGAAGATCTTTTGTTCATGATTGCTGTTCTGTTTATTGATGAAAGCATTGTATATATGCAATTTTAGTTATTTTCGTAACTGATATTTGTGTTAAGTGCTAAGCGCCTAATATATCAAATTCTATGCTACTTATTCAGTATCTTAAGGTAAATTATCTAATGTCTGTCTTTTTGACTTGCTATAATTTATTTTTATGCTTGTAATAATAATTTCTTTTTTTTCAGCCTCTTCGCGTCTATTTTCAGCTAAGCAAGAGAGCGAGGCTGAAATTGACGCCCGCCTCGAGTCCTACTTCAATAAACCTGATATCGACGGTTGGGAAATTCGCAAGGCGCTGAACGATATGCACGGCCTGGATATGGTGCCAAATCCGAAAATTTGCATCGCAGCGCTTAAAGCTTGCCGACGCTTGAACGACTTTGCCCTTACCGTTCGGTTCCTTGAAGCTCTAAAGGTAAAGCACTTTTGACGACTAACTAAACGATGATTTCTCTGTTAAATGGTGATTTTCGCGTTGTTGAATACATGCTAATAGAAGATCGTCAGACGTTCGCGAATGCTTTTTGCTTTACTGTTTGGCTTGAATGGTTTTTATTAAGACATTTGGCTTTCAATTTGCGAAAGCCTGTGAACAACAACAGACAAATATTCCTAGGTTAATATATTAAAAGATAAAAAGGAAAATATTAAAAATATATATATAATATAAAAAAAGAGGAAAGTATTATTTCAATATATTGAAATAGTACTTTCCTCGAGAGATCTCAGTAACTAAAGAATGAGAATACATCAGTATTTATTGTTTTTGAAATTAAATAAATTAGTCTTAACTTAAGGCCTTAAAATTAGTCCAGAGCTAGGGAAGTTAATCTATTAATCGATAAAGTCTGGTCTTTGAAGGATACACATGCCATTGTCTGTATATATATATCTATATATATGGGGCTTAAATAGCAAATGGTATAATGACGTGCAGTTTTTAAATTTAAGGCTTGTTTTGTACTACGATTTTACAGGAAAAAACATTAGGCGTACCGGCCCTCTACGACTACGTGATAAAAGAAATCCAGCCAACCCTTAAGGAGCTAGGAATTAGCACCCCCGAGGAATTGGGCTATGACAAACCTGAGTTGTATCTCCAGTCACCGTACGACATCCACTAATTTTATTTCAATCACGATAGGTGGAGTGGAAAACAAAATAGCACTCCCGGGTTATATCTTCAGTCACCGCAAAATTTCCATTGATTTTATTTTAGTAACTTATTTGCGGAATGACGACAGCTGAAGTAGAAAAGAAATTTGATGTTGTATATTCGTTGCTTAGTATCGGCGAGGTTTATCGTTTAATAAAGGTTCAATAAACAAAGGCGTAAAAGTTCAATAAAAAGGCGTATCAATTTGATTTACACGAACGTTTTTTATGATGACATTTTTATGTTTACATATATAGCGTATAGGACATTGTCAGGCAGAGATCGCACAGCTCGGGAACATCGTTTGAAACACAATAATACTGCCGTGCAACGAAATCATGCAGTCTAGAAAATTGGTTGCAAGGAAAACAATTAGTGATAAATATTGCCGCGCTGTGCGGCAAGTTTCTCCCGTGCATCGAAATCACGCAGCTTTGAGGGGTTTCAAGCCAAATGTTTTTCCTCGCTGTATCAGTTATACCAAGCAGTTATATATGAGCTTAACTATTTGGAACTCACCTTGAATTCTCTACGCCATTTTGCTTATTTAAGTAACCACTTAGTTTTCATCAAAGATGATGTGATCAAAGGAATCACTAACACGCGCGTTGCACCTCAATATGTATGAGATGGTGGTCGACCTTTTTTGATTGCGTAAACTATACCTTGTTTTGACCAGTATTCAATGGTTCCTTCGAAATTAGTTGCGTACTGCTCGCCGGTAGGGAGACTTCTTAAGCACGAGGTAGAGTCTTCAGATCATTGGCTCGATCTCCAATGATCTTTAGAATGGTTTTTGCAGCCTCAAGATGCTGACAGCTTGAACGTGACACCCATTGTACTTTCTTGTCAGACCGGTAGTCGAATCTTGCTAACGTTTCGGGTTCTTCAACAAATGCTCCCAGACCAAATTAACCCCTAATATGGATTATTTTGTGGTCCCCTAGTAAGTATAGTAACCAAGACGTCCTAATCATCCGACGTACGTTCGTTAGAGCTTTAGCCCCATTTCATCGAGCAATGCTCGCTTGGCCTGTAAAAAATGCACAAATATTTTTCGCGCTCTTAACGTTGAAAGACTTTCTGGTTTCTTTTCCGGAAAACAACGCGTAAGCTGCCCTTGAACCGCTGCCACATGTTGGTCCCGACCATCTGGCGATCATTCAGCAGCAGAACGGCTCTCAGTACTGCTTGGTCCTCACCCGATTGTGTTTGAAAGATCTCTTCTGGATTCACTTGTTCGATTTGCTACCGTAACACTCGAAACTCTCCACTTTGTTTGTTCCAGTACTCTCCAGAGTCACGTACAATTTCCTAAACCATCCCACAACGCTGCCACAAACTTTAAAGTAATGGCGAATATGACCGCTAGCGACCACCGGTTAGCCACTTTGCTATTGTCATAGCTGAGGACTCCTGCCCTTACAGCGTGCTACAAGCTCTGTAGGAAGCGACAAGCCAGATCGTTTTTCTTTCGCCTTCCGCGGTCTTACTGAGCTGCCGCCAGGTTGCAGCACACAGATTATAGTTCCGTCTTATCCGGTTATATTAGCTTTACTAATCTCTACCAAATCAAATATCTATATCACCTGTTCCCATATACATATGCAATGCGTTGCAAACGTTGTTTAGGGGGTTATCACTTCCTGATTGTTTTTCATTTTCAGAATGCAATTCATTAAAATTAATAAGTGGACCAAGATGAATTACTGAACGAAAGAAATTTATTTCAGAATGTCAATGGAAATATGAAAAAAATATCAGAAGTACAAAGACAATATCGTAAAAAGTTTTAGGCAGATCCGTCTACGCAGCTAATAATTAATAGGATAAAATTTAAATTTGAAACGAATAGAACGTTCGTGCATATCTATGATACAGTGCGTCGTCGTATATCGCAACTAAGTATTAAACGGGCCCAGTCGAATACAGTCGGGCTAAGGTTAGTGAACAACAACCTTAAGGTATTTTTATAGAACTCACATATGTACGTAGTCATATGGTCTTCCTTAGGACGAAAATCTACTTACATCACGTGTACTGTCATTAGATTTCGGCTTCCTGAGAAATTGTAACATAAGTAAGCACGGTCTTTTCACCCAACAAATAAACGCAGCGTCCATTCGATTTCTAGCAAAAAACAATTTATTTAAAACATTATTGACTATCAAATGTGTCATTGTGAACTTAGTCAGTGCTTGGAAAAGGTGGGGCGAGATCTGAAAAGTATAGTAGGCGTACAACAGCTTCCTTTTTAAGTCTTTTAAACTTTAGCAACTTCAGCCATATGTGGCCTGGTATCGTCGTGAAGCAGAGTTGCTTTGTAACGTTTATCGAATCTTCCGTATTATCACTCAATTGAGATAACTGGGCCCTATAGGGCTTTTGCTGACCATCTCAGACATTTTTCATTTTTTAGTGTTAAGAGATTTCCAGCGGCACCAAACGCAAATCGTGGTCTTTTTAGGATGGAGATCTGACTAGATGTTTGGGACTACCCGTCGCCTTCTCTACTTTTTATATCGACGTAGAGACTACTTTTTGCCTCGACCTCGGATGACCGACCGGGATAGAGTATATCTTCCAGGCTTTAGAATTTAGAAAATCTCTTCAAGCAATCCTCTTAGTTGTAGGGTCTTTCTTGTACATGAGATCTTAGGATGCTTTTTGACTTTGCAAAAGGTAAAGGGGAAAACTGGTGAAAAATGCACTTCTTTCTCACAAAAATATCGACCTCTATGACCTTAACTCGGTGTAATAACAACGTAATTTCGTTCAATACACAATGTAAATGCAACTGGCTTATTAAAGTAAGAAGAAGATTTCTTAAGATTTTTTCTCTTAATGGTGTATAGAAGCAAACAAAGAGCGAGGTGATAAAAAAAAGGACGTATTAAAAGGAAACCACCCTTATTCATGCTGAAATCTATTCAAATCCTTCCTAATGGAATATTTCACTGATACAAAAGATTTGACAGCCAATAATCGACGGAAATAAGCATGGCGTATAGTACTTCACATAGGGGTTAACATTCCGCAACGTAAACCTGCTTTTTACGGGTTTCAGCAAAGGACTGAAGTGGATTATGTTATGCCATGAGCCTTCTTCTGGATGACCCTTAGAGTAATATTTCCTACATAAAATCAGGGGTGGTTTAGAACACACGGAGTAGAGGTTAAAAATCGGCCGCGGGTTTAAAGCTTTAAAACAAATAGAAGAGCAGTGGAGCATGTACTTTAATCCGTTATCAAATCGAATGATAAGGAAGTATAGTTTAACTAATAGTTTATCGCTGTATTGGCTGGGGCGACCAGCGACTTCAAAGCCTTGCAGCTACATGTCTCGGACATCAGCTGAACCTAGAATTTTTAAGGCTGCGCAATTACCCCACTTTACGAAATTCTAGTTACTGTTTAATTATGCGTAAGTATCTTTTATGCAATTGGTTACAAATGTTGAGACTGTGCCGAATCTTATTTTATCATAGTGTGAGTTGGACGGCAAGAACAGCTCCAAGCAGCTATACGAAGTGTATAGCCCAATCACATCTAAAGGAACAAGATGCGCTTTTGGCCACTGAAAACAGCAGTGAAAATCTACCATTTATTTGTATATCCACTCATTCTGATCATCTTTCACGCATTAACGGGCGAATAGGCTGGTGTTGCAAATAGTATGTAACTTGTTACGTACAAGGTACGCATCAGCTTTATGAGTGAGGTAAATATATATAAGAATCAAGTAATTAATTTTAAGACCATCCACGAAAACGATGAAATGGGCCAAAGATGCTGATTAGCGGACCATTCCAGCGCTGCCATGTGGGCACATGCGTACCTAACATAAATAAAATGTCATTATACAAGCGCGTATTCTGTATATTTGATGATTCGTTTGCCACCAGTCTTGAGAAATATGCAATATAATGTATGAGGGTATCCATACAATCCGAAGATTTTTCACTCTTACAATTTAACACACCACCTTAATTTTTCCACGGTTTATTATCTTATAACATTAAACTTTATTTACATTACACTTTTATTGAAGTTTCATTCGTCCATTTATAAAATCGTCGATCATTCTGTGTATACGAAACTAGTATTGGCTAATGTAAGTGTATGTTATGGTTACTGTCGGATTCAGTGAATTCATGGAAGTTGTTAATTATCCATATTTACCATGGAGTGCTTTAACAGACCAGCAGAGATTAAGTACGAAATAATTAAATATAGAGAATTATCCTGCATATTCATTTTATGATATCACTCTGTACGGAACAATTTCTCATAACTACTTGTTTTTTATACATACTCTAACTCATCTGCAGTGTACTATTGATCGACATACGCGCTGTAGCAGTTATCCGCTTATTTTGGAGATGTTGTACACTATAAGATTGGCCGACCGAGCATGCTCGAATGTCCTGTATTATGCGAAGTCAGTGTTTCTACGACTAAAGTCGAAGTTGACGCAGTGTCCTGTTCAAATGAATGCCCAGAGTTACTTTATCTATAGCAAGAAAGAGCGCGAAGTGATATTTACGTCACCGTCTGCTTCATCTGCAAGTCTTCAGTGTCGGTAGATATGTTATCAGTTGCACGTTGTGACCTCCTACGAGCGATAACTAGCGCAAGGAGTCCAACTGTTAAGACGACAGTAAATATGACGAGGAAAGTGATGAGCCACGAAGTTGGAATAAGTGCAGGATTAGGCTCGGCTTCTGGAATCGCGTTTGTGGCATTTATCATATACCCTAATGACCACCCCAGATTATAGCCTTTCGCCCGTTTACGGAAGTGTATTTTCTTGAAATTGCTGTCAGTGATATTGTAACTGTTCAGCAGAGTATAAACATAATTTGCCCTGAAGCATGCCGCTGATGCATATTTTATGGTCTCGTTAGAATAGTAATCTTGCTTCACATTTTCGTAATCAAGAGAACAAAATGCCTGCGCGGTTTGTTTGAACTCACTCATGCTAGTTCCTTGGAACTTTAGTTGCAACGTAGTGTACGTGAACGCGGAGAAAGCCACATAATTAATATCTGGGATTGAGATAGGAATTTTATTGAAGCATTCGATGAAACCCAAAGCCCGACAATCCTTCTCGCCGAAAAGCGTGTTTGTGTAGAAGGCGCACCATCGCGTGTTACTCGTACCGATAATACGGAGATCCTAAAGTTAACAAGCAGGGCGGGAGCATTGAATTAGTAGTATCAGCTAACTCTACGAACTCGATGTAAAGCATTGTAACTATATATGAAATTATATGGATTTTGCCATAGACAGAATACTTATTTACCGTTTGGTTCATTCCGCGGAGTGTGTCAGGCAGCTCCTTGTGCGATGTGCACGGAGTGAGTATCTTGCTTAAGGCTATGTAATCATCGTATCCCTGATTATGACATGGCGACTCGATCGACTTAATTACATCGTACTTCTGTCAAATGCGTATCAAATCCATCACTTTAAACTTCACATAGTTATCGAATCGTATAATTTGAGCCAGGGGTGAAGTTCGTGAGACTTTATTCGCCCAGCTGTCCACCTGGCCATACTCACTGTCGAAGATGTACCCCATGAATAGTGCAAGCGACTCGTATATACAAACCAGATAAGATAACCCAATTATTCGGAGCCACACTATTCTTGATAATCTAGCATATTTCTCTATCTCTAACCGAACAGCTGGCTACACTGGCTAATCGAATGGTTACTAAAAGACAATCTTAACGATTCAAAATAGATATGCTACGCCATTCGGTATGTGTATTGTTAAACATGAGCGTAAGCATTATGAACCTATTGGGCCGTTTTTATCAATACTATTTTAATTTAGAGTTTTTTATTTTACTAACTTACGCGCTACATTACTATTAAGACGAGGGGAATACTCTGTTGCGTGTCTTCGAGGATCCGGCACATATCCTGGGCGCAGAGGGCATTCATTCCTTTTAACGATTCTTACATTCAGAATAGCTTTTGACGCTATTATTTATGTAGAGTGTCGTTGATTAAGCTGGATGCACCGACTGTTGGTGGCGTTAATTAAACGTTCGTAGTGCCATTTCCCATCATGATATCATGAAGCCATTTGTGAGTTCGCGTTACTCAGGCTTTAGGATCACCGCCCAGTCAAAAAATTACATTAGGTAATTTCTGGATTGTTTATCTTAGATACTATTAAATATTGGTGAATTTGGTGTGAAAAGTGACGTTTTACATGGATAGCAATATCAAGAGCCTTTTACTAACATTGATTCATAATAAAGAAAAATTAAAATTTATTGAAAACTCATCGAAAGCGCGCATCAGAGCGTTTCTCTCGTACTGATAGTTATGGAAAAACACGTTATCATGCGTAAAGATACTTCTTTAAATTTTTTAAATTAGCCATAATTTATATTCACTTAAGAAAATATCTTAAAAGACCGCTTTTAGCGTACAATACACGCTCGAGACGTTAAGTGTTGCCTTGCCCAATTAAAAGAATTTGTTAAAAAATATCCGGTTTTAACCACTTCCTATTCTACAAAGGAGCCTTGATAATATGCCGCAATTGAAGACATCAGACAAGCTTATTCCAGAGAGTTCAACCCCCTTTACGTGAATGCTCATGAAATCTCCTTTTTTGTTTTAGCGAAAGGACTACAACGTGTTTGGCCAATCATTGTGACAATGTTCCACTAGTTTCCAAGATTCTTACGAGTTTTTCAAGAACCACAAGAGAAATGGTTTTGTCAAGCTTCTGATATGATGGCGGAAATTATAAAAGTAACGCGCATGCTTACTTAACGAAGAGTCATAGTTGAGTAAGCACGGGTGGTAACAATCTCGCCTGAACATTTGTATTCGTTAGCCTATAAGTATAATAATCGATTTAAACGATGATTATGATGGAACTCTTTCCTTTGTAGAACTGAATGTATTATAGGCTGTGCGGGAACCGATATGTAAAGTAGATTACCTAGAATCCGATTGAAAACTAAACTGACCTGGTTACGCAGCAGCAACATAATGTACCGATTGAATGCCTCATTCATTCCGTAGCACAGGTAACTACGTGAGAACACATTATAGAAACGTCCATACAGCTTAAGGGAACGGAATTCACGATGTTGCTTCTTAAATGGTACCTCAAACGCAATCTGCGTAGACGCACCTCCACAGTCCATTGCACCCACGAGATCTTTTGGGTCATTCTGTAACCATAACAAAATACATTCAATAGTATCTTTGGCTTGTTTAGTCAACCATGCTACAAAAGGACAGAATAAGGGGCTTGTTTTTTTGTTATCGTTATGGCTGGATGGTTATGCGGTATTACTAGGTAGCAAAAAATGCATATGTGCAGGTCTATTAATTTTCATTCTTTACCGAATTAAGATGGCCTTTGACATAGTATAAGAAAAGCAAAAAACGAATCCTACATTTTTGCCAACGCCCACCTTCTTTAACGAGCATAGTCGTTTAAAGTTAATTACTAGAACATGATGTTTACTCAATCTTCTTATATAAAAGTTAAATCTATTATCCAGCCTTATCTTTACATGTTTTGGCAATCGCCAATGCTACGCTTATAACGGGTACAAAAAGTGGCCTCCTCTGTGAAAATATGAAATCGACTTCTTCATGACTGCGATAGCAAACAGCTATGTTTGTGACTAAATAAATGAAATTTGAGTCTCTTCTAATTATAATTAACATTTTTATCAATTCTAAATATATATATATATATATATATATCTAATATTTTTAAGCTGTTCGTTTGGGGATACAGACACAAGCTATAGTATGTTTGTGTTTACGCAATTGAATGCTCACTGATTCTTACCCGGTCTCTGGGCAGCCTGTCAAGCAGATAGTTAGAGGACAGCCAGGCGGCGAGACCTTCGTCTATACCACTGAGTAGGCCTGCTCCGCCGAATTTCAGACCGGATCCCTTAATGCCTGCTTCCGCTGCTAACAAAATTAAGTCCACCTCCTCCGGACTGCTAATACTGATAGCCATCAATCATCGTTATGACACAAAATGTGAGAATGATTAAGAGGTATTCAAAGCATTTCGAAGAGACATATGTCTTCTCTTAGTTTTCTTCTTCTATGAAAACACGATTCAAGACAAGCTGGGTTAGGTTGAAAAAAATCTCAAGTTTTTGTTACTGAATAGATTCTCCACATTTTTTTTTTCATTTAAGTGACAATACGTTTTGATTGTGTATACCTTGTGTCATTGTCTATAACTTTCTTCCATCTTTCCGCTAAATGATGTATGTCGTCGCGAGACAATAGCGGATTTCTTCTCGGGGAATGAATTTTTTCAACCATGTTTTGAGCAGCTGGTTCGTCTCAAAAGAGATGATTGGTCAGTCAATGGAAAAGCTGCAAATCCGTCGGCGCACCGTCCGGATAGTGTAAAGGATATAACAGAATCTTTTATTCGAGGTGCAGGAGGGCAGCTTGGGCGTATGGCCTCGCACTGTCGAAGAGTAGGATTTTTTTGACCTTATTTGTAGGGTCTCGTCTTTTGAATAGCCTGGTTGACTCGATGCAACTAAGCCAAATAAATAAACGTGCCAATCAACTGTGCGGTTCATAGGAAGTAATTCCTAATGAATATGATCCTAGTAGTTCTATTCGAGCGTACCACTTTTTGGCTGAAGATCTGGGTGTACCCTAGGCCTTAGGTTTTCTTCTGGACCCACCCATTCTGATCTTTGATTCATATTAACGTACACACCCTACTTTTTATCGTAGGAAATGTCGAAATGCAGTGTTAAGCCATAGTTCCTTGCTGAATTCGGATAATTTGCCCCCGAGCTCCACGTTTCTATGCAAAGTAAAGGAATCTGAGACAGGCTTCAACCCACCTTTTCGGCCAATTTCCAAGTTATTTGTTGCACAACTTCTTTCAAAAGTGCTTTCGTCATCAAGCTCAGATGGCCGGTCGAGACTGGAGGTGTCTTCTAGATCCCGCATATCATTTTCAAAAATTGCAAACCATTCTCGAGTAGTCTTGTTAGTGCGCACAATGTAATGCCCCAAGCTGCTTTAGCACCACTTGGGTCTCACCGAAATGCATAGCACGAACGATGTCGAAAATGCACTTTTTTCGCCTGGAACAACTCTTTGGAAGATCGCTTTCCAGCGATATGTAAGGAGTAAACAAGAAGTAAAGGGGAATAAGGAAGTTTTGTCCAACAAAGGGAAACTTTCATCAACCTTATTGTAGACTACTCCAGATTAAGAAGCTTTTACTAAGTATAGGGTAATGTTTGACTTTTAGTTGAGAGACTGAATTCAGCATTATTTTTAATGCTCTACCAGCTTTTGCAAGGAAGCGGACTCCATCGGTGTAATCCTTTCTTTTACTGTAACACCTGCTTTGTCGCTTATAACAGTTCAAATTGAAACTATGTTCTCCTGTTAGGAAAAAGCAGAGACAAAAAATATTTTTTTTACCGCGGATTGAAATATTTTATAGTAATAGATTGGGCCGAATATTAGACGCGCATAATTGCTGAATGTGGTGATCAGTACAAGTATGTTAGATTTATTATGCCGCCTGGCAGCTGCTCTTCTTAGCTTCGCATAGATAATTACCAGTGCAGCAGAGAGGCCAAACTTGGTTCTCTGCTGGTAATTCATCTGCGACGACGTAAAGCGAAGAGAAATTACGCACGAACCGTGCTATTGCTACAGTGCAGAGAAAAAACAATGACTAAAATAAGTAAAGCAATACAAACTGTAAAATCTAGTTAACAAATTTCTTTTGGTTGCGCATAAGTACCGAACCATTAGGTATGCTAAACGGTGGGCCGTGAAGCGATAACGCCGTCCTCGGCGATTACCAGCCCTTTTATAGCAATAATAACTGCAAGGAGAACAAAGAGATATTAATTAATTATATGCAGTGATAACGTACTTAAGAAGTCGCATTCCAGCCGTAGCTGCGAGGTATACAGGAGTCCCATGTCGTTGAGTAGATGGAATGTGCATTTTAATTTTTTCCAAGAGTTCTTCAATTGAGCGCTGCACTTCACGTGGCTTGAGATCTGAGATTCCGGAATCGTCGTTCTTTACATGCGCCACCTAGGTCACAATCATGCCGTTATATACTAAATCTAAAATATAGCAAGGTATATCTCTTTGATTTTTATCCAACGAAAGTCTCCATGTTGAACGGTAAGTTTTTAAACAAGAACCCTAAACGTACTTTTGAGTAAGGTTTGATTACTTTATTTTGACGATTAACGTTCATTTGATAAATCTCAACAAAGGTGCAGACAACTGATATAATTCAAGCAAATATAATTATCAAGTTCATGATTACCAACGAACGACACTGAGCTTACCTGTTTTGCCTTTCCTGTGCCGTAGTATTTATTGCCGTTCCAATTATAGAGTGTCGCTTCGGAGTGGGAAGAACCGGCGTCTATTACAACACCATACTGGAATACAATCCAATTTAGTTACAACATTGTTATAACCACTAATAATAACGAAAAAACTGTTTTTATTAAAAATGCATTTAAAAGTGACTGTATGCTTTGTCTACCTTGTGACATTGAACAAATTTATTTGATTAAGTTGTAAAGTGCAAATAGCGGCAAATATCCCGAACGCGACTGCGTTTCCTACTCTCTTCAAGCCGTTAAATGTTAGCTGTATAAACTGTATAGTTTGTATAAAGATCAAAAATTACATTTTTGAAATAGTTCCAATAGTACAAGGACATAGTTTCGTGCAGTTTCAAACTACACTTGGTAACGGCCTTTTGTCAACTAAGGCTTTGATTGTGTCCATTCTACTTTATGGTTATTATGTCAGAAATTCTTGTTTGAATTTAATGATCCTTTTTTTTTAACATCTCCGGGGCTTATTCACTTTTGTGTTCGCTCTCTACTCTGTAAGCCCATCGTATTTCATTGTGCAGTAAACGGAAGTTTCAGAACGTCAAGTCAGGGGCTTTAGGTGAAAAATGCATTTCTAACATCTATTCCATTTGGCCTTTTGTCGAAGCCATAGACTGCCGACATTAGTAATTATACACTTGACAGTGAAGAGAACCTTAACACAGGCTGAACGAGTTCTTAAGCAACAGACCTGAAAATTTCTAACGAGAAAGAATGAATGGATCTGTTGAGAGATGAGAGAAGGTCATAAAGAATGACGGCCAATACTCATTAAAACCACTTATTACTAAAATTCGCATAAATTATGTCGGTCTTGAAAGCAAGAACATGGAAATGGTGTGTTTAAATCCATAGCCATGAATTAGCTACTAGACTTTTCTATAAAACTGTTTTACGCTATTTTGGCCTGTATTGTCGAATAACACTACTAGACCAAAACATAACAAATCTGAAACATGGTTAAATGTACCTAGAGAGAGAAGAACACCATGGTTTTTATCTGGCCATATTTAAACTGTTATCATCACATTAACTACAAACATAAGGCAATTACATTTTGGTACAGCAGGGAAAAATCACACAGAATTCTTTATCGACTGAAATAACAAAATGCCGCTTTTTGCGTTGATTATATTGAAGACTAGAAGAAAATAGGTGACTCTATAAACTTCGGTCAAAACATATACAATGATACCCGTATTCGGTCACTTCATCTACGATATATTTGTTCTGTTATGGGTTAATGATCTCAAGAGTCTCTTTTGCCTATTCAGCTTTTGAATGTTGTAGTTTGAAAGCTCTACTCAATTTGCCAAATGAAAAATTGTTTAAAATTTATGGGAAATGACTTTTGTATTTCAACAAAGCGACGAAGTACCTCCTACCTCATTGATTACTGAATCAGCGTGAACGAGGTTAATTCACCGCGCTCCGTTGGAACACTACAATATTCTGCAGTGTTCTGATTTCCCAACTGAAATACATTTGAAGAGGACCCGAACCGGGGAGGCATATGCAAGTGGTCCATCGCGGAAGTGACATAACGCTTGTTCTTTTCGGAAAACGTAAAAGGAGATGCTTGAAACCCTTTACAGACAGGTACGTCGTAGGCACTTATTTATGGCCAATTCCTGAGAGTGGACTGCTGCCATTAATTGCCAAATGCTTCATATACGACGACGAGCACAATGCAATATTTTGTCGAAAAACTGCATTTCAATGATTAAAAAACAAGTCCAATATATTAGTTCTATCTACTAGGTCGTCATCCAATAATTACCTGTAAATTGACTTTTTTTTTTAAATTTACCTGACTGTATTTATAAAAAATAAAATGTGCTTGGTAAAGAATTATCAAAAGAAATCAGTCCGATGAATGTGATGCAGAATAGGGTAAACCAATGCTTATAGAGTAAACCAATTCTTCTGGCAAAGAAGGGAATTTTATATATATATTGAAGCAGATTGACTCTGCTTTGTCCTTAGTTTGCAGGGACGAGCACCTATCCACCAGAGCTGTGTTCTTTTTCCTATATTCATACTGTACTCTCTGATCTATCTATTACAAACTACACTGATTCGGCGAGATGTCTTTATCCAAAGGGAAGACACTCTTCTTCAGTTCATAGAAACATGAAATAAGCGAAATAGAGAGCACCAACCTAAAGTCAACAGTCTTCAATTCTCCATTTTTAATTCTGCTCCTCAGACCAATACTATCCAGCGTTTCTTAATTAAAAGCTCATGAGCCCTTGTGTAACATTATAGAACTCAGTAGGGGGTGCACCTGCGTAATACAGATTAGAGATTTCATGCAAATGATTTCAGTGAACACAGTACTCATTGTCGTAGCTACTGCACTTCATTAGGAGATGCTATCGAAGTGCCCTTTTACATATATTATAGAAATTTTGTAATTAAATCTAGTTGTTATCGTAATCATTTGCGTATCTGCTACTACTTTAGCAAATGTGCAATGAAGACTCGCAACTGTAAAGGGATCCTTGATCTAAATATATATATATATATATGCAGTACTCCACTTTCTGAGAAAGTTTCTACAATAGCGCAATCTCTTGAAACCTCGCTTGTGCGACTCTGCGCTACTACTGGAACGTCCCTTCAGCAGTGATTTTAATCCGATGTAAATAAAAAATGGTGATCATTTTAGAAAGTGATCTATCAATATATATATATATATATATATATATATATATATATATATATAATAAATAGGACGAAACTTTGTAGCAATTTCACACAAAGCCGCCTCGTTGCAGCATCCAAAAGACACTTCAGCCGGTACTCATACACATGCATCCAAAATCATCTGTTGCGATCGATGAAGAAGCGTTGCTCACAAGAAGAGCCTCGGCTTTAGAGTTTTTAAAGCAGAATCATGTAATAATCTCTATTTTATCTATGTTGAAGGTTAGGTAGAGAAAATTATATAAAGGAAACGTATGTCACATTGTTTAAGTGGCGAATAGCAAAATAATAAAAATATGAAAACTAGTGGAAAATCGACCTAAACTAAGTTATTTAAATCTTTATTATATTAATCTTATAAACTAATTAAGTATTATTACTTAGGAGATTAGGGGCATGATGGAATGTGTATAAAAGGTAATTTTTGCACAGTAAAAATTGAATATATAATTTAACAATAGCTTACAATGAAGGGTGCCCGTCCGGCTGTTAATAGGTAGATGGCGACGAGAACAGTACTACCAACTGTGGAAGTCAGCAGAAGTCCAATGGCAAGCACACGCCAATTCAATAAAAACAGTAGATCATCTCTTTCGCCTAAAGTTCGAAAGCCAAATAATTAAATTAATTTAGCCTACATTATTTCTAATATCGTACACATTTCAATATTCGACACACTAAATTTCTCTCGTGAAATGAAGGGTTTTTATAAATTTTAAATCACGATGTAATTACAGTAAAAATAGAACACAAAGCACCTTTTTAACGTGTGAGAATTATTGTGCTCAAGATAGTGCTGAAGTCTTTTTTATCTTTCATGATTGTGAACGTCAACGAAAGCTATTATATACAACCAGATATACTACTATAACGTCCGCGAAAAAAACTGAATATATTGATTAGGTCTACGTCCATTGCACAGGCCAGAAAGGATTGCTGAAGTTACCTTTAGGCCGCAAATAGACAGTATCGCCATTACTTAGACCATAGGCTGCAACGTTTTTGCGATGTGATAACATCACATTGTCCTTTGTATACAGACCTGAAAAGAGTAGGCGCACAGTATGGGAAATATGTTTTCTTTTTACCGTTTCGTTTTGTAGATCGTAATCTTTGTGGTCGTTTATACACTAATTTTTTCACCATTTTCGTAGCAATTTTATCTTATTTTATCTTTTTATTTTATTTTATATTTTATTATTTTAGCATGCTAATCATAGTGATGTTTAACGTTTCGTATGGAACGGCAAAATAAGTCCAAATCAGTAGCTGTATACCATTAAACGGCGTTGTACTGCGGTATTTAGAATTCTGGAGCTGGCTCTAAACTGAAAATTTGATGCCACCTCTTCATAAGCTCTATCTAAATGTGAACAGATACTCGACGGAGTTATGCACACATGCCAATAGACACCCAAATTCTAATAAACGTACTTACGCACTATAGCTTTTACATACTTTAATTAGTGGGTGAATCCTGCACATAGGCGTGTTAAAAATCCATTCAGTAATAATGAAGTATAGCGCTTGTGAGAGGTTTAAACTATAACGAGTAGTTATATATAATATATATACAGCATTTCATACCAAGTTGTCGATCCAATGGTATCTTAAAGCCTTGACACGCAGCTCCAAGGAGTGACGGTGCTGGAGTGGATCCGTTTGTAGCAACGATTATCGTACCCCCCGAGTCCTTTGTTTGATTCTCCACACGCAGCTCCATAGCCTCTATCGGATCGTAATTTCTAAAATAGAATATATATATAACACGAGCTTTTTCGATACAAAAATGATATCTAGCTGTATATTTTATTTTACGTGCGTGTAATCAGACTGGTTTTTTTTTATTGATCACTCCTGTGTGGGTGTATCGAACCAAGATCGAGACGAAAAACGTTGCTTCCAAAAGACCGTAAGAAAATAATCTTTTTTTTTTTATAAAACATATTACCGTACCATTTATCATTGTCTTATTATTCATTTAGAGTAAACGAAAGTTTTATTCTTATCTGTTGCAATAATGAAATGATGTAAAAGTTTCATTTATCATAAAAGATTCTCCATAATTTTTTAAATCATTAGTGAGCTTGTTCTAATACCAGTCTTTATAGACCTGTGCTAAAGATCTAGCAACTTATGAAAAGGGTCTGTGTTACTGTGGATCAAACTGTTCTTTTCGAGATAATCCTTTTTCCGACAATTTAGGCAAAAATACGATTGTACAAATAGATTTCAAAAAGATGATAGAGCTCGGTAAAGAGTACGTTTTTTCCGCAACGTCAAAACATCGTTCTCTCACAAAAAACCGATATTCCTGTATAAGGAGCATAGATGTCGCACAGGAGTGAATGTGAGTGTACTGCCTTGCATGAAAAAGAACTCTTCTGCTTCAATAGATTAACGTACCCGTATTTAGGACTAGATAGTTTTATAGGTAGATAGATAGATTTATCTATAGTCCGTATACATAATACAAGCTGTGCTGGGATAAAATTATCTGTGCAGAGAGGCGTCCGATTAATTTAGTTTGCACCGTAATGGGAAACAGTCCTGCACAACCGGGGCACAGAGCTGTGCTCAAATAAAGCTAAGAACGTTGCTAAAATGTAACAACCTGCTATACTTTCAGCACATTTTTGCAATTGTGCAAACCGAAAATGCTATGCAAGTTCCAGACTGAGGCGTTTCCAATGCGCGCCCAGTACAAAGTCCACATGCCTATCGATAAAAATGAACGAACAATGAACTGTTTACTTCCGGGCACCGATTACAGATAGATGCTTTATTCGTGCCTCATTTTCTATAAGTATGTGACCCGTTACGTCCATTCCCGTATGATTAAGGACCTAATAGCCGACATTAATAACAGTTAACAGCTACATCGTTACTGTCCAGTCTAACAGATAATTTTGAAACCCGCGGATAGTTCAAGCGTTTATGCACACAGCCCACGTATTCAATTTGATAACTAGAAAATGCATATCTATTTTGTCCCGTAAACTTGCTTCACACGACGCAATAGCCAGAAGAAAATCCACAATTAGTACGGGAAGTCTGATTCTAAAATTAGCTATATATAAATAAAACTGTTCGACAAATAATAAAACGATACACAGTTAGGTGCTCGGTATTAAGCGGGGAAAATAGATCGATAAAGTTCTACCGATTTATTAGTTCAAAAGGGATCCATAGGATCTCATATGAATGAGATTTTATGCCCATTAGTATTCTCAAGAGTGAGATTAATTTTATCTTCAAGACAGTTGGTTTGTTGCATTTGCTTTGTTTAGTATGAAAACTGAGGGTTAGTCGGAAAAAGTTACCAACTATATGAGTTTTGCAAGTTCTTTCGTAATTTTCGTTCATCGACGAAAGTTATGCATGAATGAGTTAAAAAAAATGTAAGTACATGCACAGTGATGGCAGAAGTGCGATATAATTTACCGTTTTTATTCCCTCTGCTAGCCACTGGAAGGACATATTACGATAATCGTGCAAATTTGTACTTCGTCAATATTATAAACTTATATATAAATTATATATCAATTAGAATAGAACTAACCGTAACGCAAATCTAACTAGCAGTGTTCTAAATTGAAGATGTATCTGATAAAGAATCATTATCGGCTGCAAATCTTTTTAAAGAGCGGGTGTTTTCGTTATCGTTCCGCAGAATACTCTTGCTTTGACGGTAATACCGTCATTTTAGATATAAGTGAAATCATACGTATCGTATGTAGTATTTTCAACACGTTGACGGTTCTTGGCATACCCCAGGAGTTTCAATTCGGCTCTAGGCTCTATAGCAATTAGTCTTTTTACGATATTTTAACAAACCTCAGATGGCATCATTTCTTTAGCCATTCCTGTATTTTTAATAATATCCGATGCAAGTATCAATATTCACACATTATTCCATGTTGTCAGGGTTATGCCTCGATTCAAATGATTCGGCCAATGGAGAACCAGGAGCCTTGAAGGTATCGTCCGGGCTATTAACTCACTAAATTACGAACCGAAGAACATGCATCTGCTGAATCGACTTTAAACTGTTTTGCCACTTGTATTTACACCTTTTAAAGTTCACGATTTCATATAAATACTTTTATTTCATACTAGATAATTGTGTCGTCTATGAGAAAACTGCCACAAGGTATGCGCAATGCTCGTTCTCTTTTCGATCTTGTGTTTTGTCTGTGCTCACTGAGCGTCTTTTACTATGTCAGTGTGATGCCATTGGGTAATTTCCATTTCCCTTTGCACGCGAGTTCAGACGTGCGGTAGGTTCCATCCGAAATGGTCAGGCACGTCTCTGAGTTTGACAAAGCATACAGCAGCTCGCGCCCGCGTGCAGTGTGATTTCGCGTGCCTTTTATTTCCCAATGGCACCGCCACCTTTGCCATTGTAGAACGAAAGAATGCGCCTCGAAGAGAGGGTGGATGCCAGAATGAGCTTGTCAACGATGATGATGATATCGGGCTACACATCATCGCTTAAACTAGAAGTTAAGTAATAAAGGCAGTGAGTTTACTTATTGGCATTGGTTTTCAATACGCTCACCGCCATCAAGTCTATCATCCATAAATTCATCAGACCCTCCACGGCCTTAGACTGTCCACTCATCGTAATTCGTAGTTTTATTAATAATATCTTTCGTTATGTTTCGTGAATGACAAATACTTCCCTGTCGTCTCTGTTGTATGTTCCTCATAAAAGACGTTCCGTGTGCACGCGAACGCCCGTCCCTTTGTGTACTCTTCCAAAAATTCTTCTCGTTTACTCGAAAAAACACCCAAAAAATTGTGTACATGTCAAACGCTTCCACACGGTGTGTCATGCCTGTGATTTTACCGTAAAGGTATCTATATTGATTCATTAAAAACATTAAAACGGTTATAAAATGAAATTATACAGGAGGCAACTAACAAACTTTCTCGAAGTGATACACTTTGCTAAATGATCTGTAAAATGTGACGATAGAAGATGATGTGTAAACGTAAATATCAGTTAGCGTTCTAACTGTCGGAACGCTTCTTTTAAAAGTTAATTGAAAAAATTACACTCGTATGTGAATTACATCGGGTGTGAACTTTTTTATTTTATACAGATATGTTACAAAACATACAGATATATTACATGTTGAATCAAGATCTTCATGTATGTATTAGCTGCGTAAATTATATTCCGAGTGCGAACAAATAATGGTGACCCTAAAGACCGAAGAAGTTTATTTATTTTCAGTTTTATCATACCTTTGTAATTATCGTCTATTCTTCCTCGTTTATCTAGGATAACAGCAATAGTTAAATTTGGCAAGCTGAGCTCAGTATTTTACCAATATCATTGTTATTTTCACCAGACACCCTTTATTGCTTCCTACTTATTCACATGTAAACGTGCCAGTGACGCGTATCCAAAGCGATCTAAATTTTTTAGGAAACTGCGTCTACCTGGACTCCAACCCATGCACCATGTGTCCCTAAACAACCGTGTTACGGTTTCACTAACACAACGATTAATGTGCATATATATATATTGCGGTAGCATATGGAATCCTCTAGCTAATCGAAACGTTTTCATTGTGTAGGTTTAAAAAAAAAGTACGTATTATACGTTAAAGTATGTCATTCGCAATCTGAAAACCACTAAACATTATACTAGAGCAAACTTGGCCGCAAAGTAGATGGTAAAAGTTTGCGGTCCTCAGCCTACCTTTGCCTTAGAGAAGCTTATAGCGTACGGGTCTAAAACATCTTAGACACTAGTACGGAGACCTTAAAATGCGCACGCCTCGCCTAGTAACCACACAGCTTCCATATGACACGCCAACCATATAAAATAGTTTTTATAAGGTGTAGAATTCCCGGATATGTGGGAACCATCAGTAACTATCGGTTGCGCTTGTTCACTTTCCAGCCTAACGATTTTACCACGCACTTAATTAATAAATATCGATACATCCCCACTGACTCGCTCGGTTTGCTGTTTCTGTATATGTAGGCCCTTGGCGCTCAAATCAAACTATATCAATATATCTTGCGTGAGTGATTTCCGTCTATTATATTGACTGACATTAAGGACGTCATTGCCTTGATCCATGTTAAGATCTCTTGCTTTTTAAGAGCCAACTTTTTTTTTGTAATTTGCATCTTTCAGACTGTCATTTTTTACATATCATTCCACCAGCCTGTAAGCCCAAGCTTACTTGGCAAAAAAGCACGCACGTTTTTTCATGAAGATTATTTTTCAATATATCCAAGATATGCGGTGCCAGTTGATTTAAGAGGTGATATAATAGTATTTTCCCTACATCATCATTTACGTTATAGGGCACCCGACTGACGAAGGTGGAGAGGAGCCAGATGTTTGTCCTACGAAGTCTGGCTAAATGGCTGAGCTCATTAAAAAAAGCTCAAAGTAAAAAAGTAAATAACTAGATATAAACATTTACTAAATGCTTGAAAGTCTAGATTGAAGTTATTTGATTACACTTTACTATTGTTTAAATATTTGAATAAAACTTGAAAATTCTGTTTAAGAATAGAATATTAGTCGTATTACTAATTTCATACACTGCAGAATGCGATTTCTTTAAAGAAGTCTCTACTAGCTGACTACATCTTTACCATGATAAAGAGTTTTCTTTATACAGGATTACCATTGTTGATGTCCCACACACGGCGTCCCAAAAATACCGATATCTGGGCAAAAATAGTGGGTTTCAATGTATTCTCTCTTCTAGGAAAAATGAACTTCACAAGTGGTGTGCAAAAGGAATAATCGGACATTTTACTTCGCCTATTAAATCAAATGCTATTTTATTAATAGTTTGATAAGTATTACACAAGTTTGATAAGTATTACACAGTAAGTATACAATATTTTTGCTTGTCTGGGAAGTAATATCGAAATCTATCTGTCTAGCGAATAAGAACGCGTATATACATATATATACATTACAGCCGTTTACATTATCCTAAGTATATATATATATATATATATAGTTGGCGGACTCGAAACTGTAATATGTTATCATTGGAATCAGATTTTGCCGCTTTATTTATTTTAATAAACAATCAATTAAGAACATTCACCTGCTTTACATCTGTGTCGAACGGTATCTTCCTAGAATACGGCGCGCCTAAATGACGTTTATAGTGGGAATAAAAGTATCTGTTGGAGTCCTTCGGCTTGTACTGCCTTTTCTGCCTAGATTAACTTCTTCGTCCAAAAATGATGTTTTGCTTGGTACAAGCATCATTTCCCATTACACAGTTTCCACTCGAAAGAGCTTCAGCCCTCACAAAAAAAAGCTCGTATTGTGTTGTTTGTATATAATGTTGTATATAATGCTTACTGAACTCATGAAAAGATTTTTCTCCACTACCAGTCCAAGCTGGCAACATTTTTCTAAGGTCTTGGTACATAGGCTTATTTGTTTGATACCTTAATGCTTTTTTGATTATCATGGTTCAGTGCTTTTAACCACTCTAGTTGCTATTTTCTAAGAAGACCCAGGAAATTTGTAAAACTGCATTTTTTTCATTTAAGATTCCGTGTGGGGCGGTCACGCAAGAATGTAAACTACACTTGCCTAGTTTTAGTCCGCAAAGGCATTATTATCTACAAACATTTTTTTTGGTTTTGTCGACGTTAGAAAACCATATTCAGCCATTCTTATGATATTTTTTGTTTTCTACTATCATAGGCATCGTTCTCGAATCTTTACGTCTGTGAGATATACGGTAGAGGACAGGCTAGTCGATGGCAGCTTCCTCCTAGCGGTAATATTTACAGTTTTTAATTTATAGTTAGAAAAAAGCGTCGATCTACAACTAAGAAAAATACAGATCGACAGACTTTATCGCAATTATACTTTGAACAAAGCTTTCCTGTTGCATTTAAGAAAAACATTTTTTCTATTGTAAATTAACTGTAGGTTCCCGCTTGCCTATATGTGGGTTTACAACCAGTATAAGTTTTCATTATCTTTGTCTGTGATTCGATCTACAACTAGGGTATTCGAAACAGACTTATCTATAGAATGCATCTTGCTAATTCCACAAAGGATTAGTTGATGCCTTACATATTAAACCTAATCTACACCAAGTATGTGCCTCTAAGCTTCACCCAATCTCATTTAAGTCATTTAATTGTCCTTGCAATTGAGTAACCTTGAGTCCTTACTGGTATTAAATGGTAAAATGTATTTGTCTAAGACTAGCACTCCTAGCACTCAGTCCCTCTAAAGAACGGCATGTTCATCGACATTTGCTGCATTCCGTAATATAGCACTTCTAAAGTAAAGTTTTACTATTTGATGTAAGTAATAAGCCTACGTTTGTAAAAAAATTGTTTTTTACTATTAGTGTTTTCGCCCACAAAAGTTTAATATTTTTTGGAATGAATTCGTGGTCTCCACATCTTTTATTACCGCTTAAGCTAAAAGAGCAGATTTACCTTGGTTATAAAAAATAAATGGTTTTATAGCTTAATTATTGGTTAAATTTTGGATTTGCATGGAGTAGTCAAGACAAATGAGATGTGTCTAGAACGAATCTCAAAGTACCTAAATGTTATTTTTTGGTACCTTAAATATTAGCAAAGCACAATTCCAGCGATGAGGATTAAGGGGAAATTTGTTTTTTTCCATGTCAAAGCATACTAAAAAAAATGTTACTAGTATCTTCTGTTTTTGTATACAGTATTTTTTCCATAATAATTTACTGTCTAAGCAATGCGCAGTTGAAATAGAATAATTAAAGGCCTTGGATATGTCTTGCTTAGCTTTAAACCAGTTGAACTTTCTTTGAAATTGATAAAAATTTCTATGTAACTAAGTCTCTTATTTATAGGTGTACTCATTTTTGAAAATTAGCCAGCGCATTTCCAGTTCTTGAATTGTCAATTTAAAATGTGGAAATTATATTTTACGTAACGGTAAATTTTTGAAGCTACATGTCGTATTATACCGTTATGGTTAATCGAGAATGTGCTGTAGCCGCAAAGGTGTCAGTGTGAGCAGGGTTAAAGATCTATATCTAAATAATATGAAACAATTAAAGAGAAGCTCTTTTTTCTCATTTGTGGAATATCACTAGCCTGCAGAGTCCTTAACTTCTACTCTATGTGTGAAGAGTATTCAAAGAGGTCGCAAAAATCCGATAGTA